TGGCCAGCAGCGTCAAGCACGGCTCCTCACAGCTTGTGCAGGCTCTTGGGCAGCAGTAGACGCGGTGCTGACTCCCAAGAGCGCTGGTGGGCAGTCGGGGTACGCATGCGTGCGTGTGTACTTGCGGGTCAAAGTGCAGGACGCAGGTGCGTCTCCACTGGCCGTCACCATGGCGCCACGGGACACATCTGCGCACTGCCGCATCCAGCGTCATTCTGATGCCACAGGCCCACTTCAGTCAGCTTCTTCTGCTCCTGGTGTGACACAGCCAAGGTGGTGCTCGGCCCAAAGCTCAAACCCTGTCTCCGCGTGAGTGGCAGGGACCCATGGAGCGCATTCACAGGAAGCTGGATCAGAAGAAGAGGAGCCTGAACTCAAACCAACTCGTGTGGGATGCAGGCATCCCACTGCGCCGGATGGCTGCAATGTCCATCTGTTAACCAACGTCTCCCTCAACACTCATGTATCCATTTCACACACAGATCTACTTCCATCTGAAAAGGAAAGGGCCAGGGAAAAAAGAAAAAAAATTAAACAAAGAACATTTGGCTTTCTCCAACACACGTTCTCTATGAACACATTCTCTACCCTGCCTCAGACGTTATCTCCCAGGATCTCTGTGGACAGGAGGGCCCTGCAGGGACAGCGATCCCAACAAGGAAATCTCCTCCAGCCACCAGAGTCACCTTCCCTGCCTCCAGCCCCTGCTCCTCGAGCAGCCAGGTTCAGCCCGTTGTGGAAAAAGCCCAGCTGTGTGAGTCATTACAGCCATCCCAAGGGGCCTGCTCAAAATCCAGAGTACAGCTGGAAACAGCTGTCATGAGATCAACTGCCACTGGGAGGGATGGCAGAAAAAAAAGGATGAATTCATCATTTATTACCACATGAGCCCCTCTGGCCTCAGAAAAGCTGGTTTTCATTTTCTCTCTCCAACAAAAAGAGTCTTTTCCCATCTTACTTAGGATTCTTCTAATGAGCAAAGCAGCACGTGACTCACCATGAAAGACTCCCTCAGACTAGAATCCAATGGGGGACACCCCCCCCCCTAGGCATCTCCTGAAACACAGGAGAAATGAAACTCCATCAGGAGAGGAAAGAATTATCAGGAAGAAGCTATAAATGCAGATACCTCTGACTTGAATAAACTCTTAAAGAAAAAAAAAAAAAAACAGCACCAAGAAACATGAGGCGGCTGAGATCCAGCAGAGAGAGGTCCAGGGCAGAGGTTCCTCTCTGGTTCCTACGTGCCCATGACATCAGGAACACTCTGCAATTAAGGAAGACACGCACAGGGTGTTTCTGTGCACAACTAGAAGGCACTCAGCCTCCGGACTTCTAAGTCCTCCTCCCATGGGTCTCCTCACCCATCAACCTGAGAGGTCCTGAAGAAAACAGGGCTGAGGCCTGGTCCAGGTGCGGAACTGACATGAAGAGCAGATGCTTCTCCTCAACAGAAACGTCTGTGTCTGATGGGGATGAGAAGACGGCTCACCCGGCACTTGGTGCAAAGCAGCCTTGATTTCATGGCTCTGGCAGCAGGAGACAGGGAAATCGGCGCATTCTCCTCGGCTGCATGACACCCAAACGTCCATCAAGTCCCAGGCTCACACCTCAAATGATGCCATCAACACACCCCCGGGGGGCTCAGCCATGGCGTCTTTCAGTCAGCTCCAACAGTGACACCGAGGCAGCAGTCCCCGCCCTTCAACTGTCCAGCCAACCACACAAGGGAGAGGAGGAACGGCTGCTCGGGAGAGGTCCAGAGATACTTGCTGCACCCACCCACCACCAGGGACACACACCCCGTTCCTCACGCAGAGCACTACAATTCCAAAGGGCTCCACACATTCCCTCCTCCTGAGTGTCGTCTTCTCACAGCAGAATTGTGTTTATTACTCACCAGTACAAAGCAGTTTCTATGACATCATGCTGCAAGACCTCGAGGCCGCTGTGGAGCCTGTGTGAGCGGGAAGGAAGTGAGGCAGGAAGGGAGTGGAGAGGAAAGTCTGAGGCAGCTTTGGGGCCAGAGGAGAGCTTCCCTTCACCTCTCAGGTTTAAGATTACACAATTAATGGGAATTTCATTTAAAAAGAATGCAATCATTATTAAAACTTTTCTAGTTGCCTCGGCTGTCATTGTTTCTCATTTCTAAGTGTAAAACAAAAATCTAGAATTTTAAAATGTATTCTCTTTTTTCACCAGCAAGATATCAAGGTAATACCTTATACCATATTTTTTTTTTGACAGGCAGAGTGGACAGTGAGAAAGAGAGAGAGAGAAAAGGTCTTCCTTTGCAGTTGGTTCACCCTCCAATGGCCCCGCGGCCAGCGCGCTGCGGCCCGCGCACCGCGCTGATCTGATGGCAGGAGCCAGGTGTTTCTCCTGGTCTCCCATGGGGTGCAGGGCCCTTGGGTCATCCTCCACTACACTCCTGGGCCATAGCAGAGAGCTGGCCTGGAAGAGGGGCAACCGGGACAAAATCCAGAGCCCCGACCGGGACTAGAACCCGGTGTGCCAGCGTCGAAAGGCAGAGGATTAACATAGTGAGCCATGGCGCCAGCCACCTTATGCCATATTTTACAACATCAACATTCAGTTAGTTGGGTTCAACTGCTTTACCAGCTCCCCAACTAAGTCAAGGCCAGGGCCCTGTCCTGGGCACCCTAGGTGCGACCCTGCCCCTTGCCCGGCTCCCCAGCTTCGGCAGGCAGGGCGAGGGCCCCACCCTGGGCACCCCAGATGCAACCCGGCTCCCCCGTGCCTGGGGCCCCAGGCCTCGCAAGCCCTCTAAGTGCCCTGCAATGGCCACCACAGTGGGGACCCCACCACCTGCCCGGTTCCCAAGCCCCTGCTGGCATCCCAGATGAACCCATGCCCCTGCCGGGGGCCCCAGCCCCTGCAGCACAGCGAGGGCCCGCAGCCACAGCCACAGCCAGGGCCCCGCCCTGGGCAACCCAGATGCAACCACGCTCCCCACCCGCATCCCAGCCCCTGCAGGCACCACGAGATTCCCGCTCTGGGCAACCCAGAGGCGACCCCGCCCCGTTCCCAGGACCCCAGCCCCAACAGGCATGGTGAGGACCCTCAGGCACAGGAGGGACACTCCCTGGGCATGCTATACGTACCACGTCCCCTGTCCAGATCCCCAGCCCCTGCAGGCACAGCGGGGGCCCTCCCTAGGTACTCCAGACGGGACCCCGCCCCATCCGCCCAGGTCCCCAGCCCCTAAGGCACAGAGAGGGCCCCACCTTGGGAACCCAAGACGCGACCCCGCCCCGCCTGCCTGGGGCCCCAGTCCCTGCGGCAAAGCGAGGGCCCTGCCCCGGGCACCCTAGGCACGACCCTGCCCCTTGCCCAGCTCCCCAGCTTCGGCAGGCAGGGCGAGGGCCCCACCCTGGGCACCCCAGATGCAACCCGGCTCCCCCGTGCCTGGGGCCCCAGGCCTCGCAAGCCCTCTAAGTGCCCTGCAATGGCCACCACAGTGGGAACCCCACCACCTGCCCGGTTCCCAAGACCCTGCTGGCATCCCAGACGAGGCCATGCCCCTGCCGGGGGCCCCAGCCCCTGCAGCACAGCGAGGGCCCGCAGCCACAGCGAGGGCCCCGCCCTGGGCAACCCAGATGCAACCACGCTCCCCACCCGCATCCCAGCCCCTGCAGGCACCCCGAGATTCCTGCTCTGGGCAACCCAGAGGCGACCCGCACCCTACCCGGGTGTCCACAACTGCAGGCAGTGGGAGGGCCCCGCAGGCACAGTGAGGGCAGTTGCAGCAAGGGCCCACCTACCCCCCGGGTCAAAAGCCCCTGCAAGCATGGTGAGGGCCACACCCTGGGCACCCCAGATGCAACCCGGCTCCCCCACGCCTGGGGCCCCAGGCCTCGCAAGCCCTCTAAGTGCCCTGCAATGGACACCACAGTAGGGACCCCGTCATCTGCCCGGGTCCCCAGCCCGGCAGGCACAGCAAGGGACGCTCAGGCACTGGGAGGGTCCGCCCTAGGCACCTCACACGCGACCATGTCCCCCGCCGGATTCCCCACCCCTGCAGGCAAAGGCGAAACCCGTCCTGAGCACCCCAGACTCGACCACCACTCACCTGGGTCCCAAGTCCCTGCAGGAATGGCGAGAGCCCCGCCCTGGCCACCCCTGAAGGGACCCCGCCTCCTACCTGGGTCCCCACACCTGCAGGCAGGGCAAAGGCCCCGCTCTGGGCACCCAGACACAACCCCGCCCCCTGCCCTGGACCCCAGCCCCTACAGGCATGGCCAGGACTCTCAGGCACTGCGAGAGCCCCGCCCTGGGCACCCCAGATGCTACCTCCCCCTGCCCGGATCCCAGCCCCTGCAGGAATGCGACAGCCCAGCCCTGGCCACGCCAGATGGGACCCCGCCTCTTACCCGGGTCCCGACCCCTACAGGCAGGGTGAAGGCCCAAAACTGGGCACCCCAGAGGTGACCCCGCCCCCTGCCCAGGACCCCAGCCCCTACAGGCATGGCGAGGACCCTCAGGCACAGCGAGGGCCCTCCTGGGCACGCAGGACGCGGCCATGCCCTCCGCCCAGATCCCGGACCCTGCAGGCATGGCGAGAGCTCCGCCCTGGGCACCCCAGATGCTACCTCCCCCCGCCCGAATCCCGGCCCCTGCAGCAATGGCGACAGCCCAGCCCTGGCCACGCCAGATGGGACCCCGCCTCCTACCTGGGTTCGACCCTTACAGGCAGGGTGAAGGCCCAACACTGGGCACCCCAGAGGCGACCCCGCCCCCTGCCCAGGACCCCAGCCCCTACAGGCATGGCGAGGACCCTCACGGGGCACGCCAGACGCGACCACGCCCCCCGCCCAGTTCCTGGCCCCTGCAGGCATGGCAGAGCTCCACCCTGGGCACCCCAGGAGCAACACACCCCTGCCTGGGTCCCAAGCCCCTGCAGACAGGGCGAGAGCCCCGCCCTGGCCACCCAAGACGCGACCCCATCCGGGTCCCCAGCCCCTGCAGGCACAGTGAGAGCCCTCCCTGGGCACCCCAGATGGGACCCCGCCCTGTCTGTCCGGGTACCCAGCCCCTGCGGCACTGCGAGAGCCCCACCACGGGCACCTCAGATGCCTCCTCCCCCCACTCGGTCCCAAGCCTCTGCAGGCACTGCGAGAGCCCTGCCCTGGACACCCCAGACACTACCGCCCCACCGCCTGGATCCCCAGACCCTGCAGGCACAGCGAGAGCCCCGCCCTGGGCAACCCAGACGCGGCCTCGCCCCCCACCCCCCGCCCAGTTCCCACGCCCCTGCGGGAATGGCGAGAGCTCCACCCTGGACACGCTAAACTCCGCCCCAGCACCCACCTGGATCCCAAGCCCCAGCATGCTGGCCGAGAGGCCTGCCCTGGGCACCCCAGACGTGACCCCGTGCCCTGCCTGGGCCCCCACAGCTGCAGGCAGGGCGAGGGTCCCGCAGGCAAAGCAAGAGCGGGCGCAGCAGGGTCCTGGCCCTGGGCACCCAAGACGTGACCCCAACTCGGCCGCCAAGGTCCCCAGCCCCTGTGGCACAGTGAGAGCCCCACTATGGGCACCCCAGACGCCTCCTCCCCCCACTCGGTCCCCGCCCTGGACACCCCAGACACTACCGCCCCACGGCCTGGATCCCCAGCCCCTGCAGGCACAGCGAGAGCCCCGCTCTGGACAACCCAGACGCGGCCTCGCCCCCCACCCCCCGCCCAGTTCCCACGCCCCTGCAGGAATGGCGAGAGCCCCACCCTGGGCACCCCAGAGGCGACCCCGTCCCGTTCCCAGGACCCCAGCCCCAACAGGCATGGTGAGGACCCTCAGGCACAGGAGGGACACTCCCTGGGCATTCCATACGCGACCACGTCCCTGCCCAGATCCCCAGCCCCTGCAGACACAGCGGGGGCCCTCCCTGGGCACCCTAGACGGACCCCGCCCCATCCGCCCGGGTCCCCAGCCCCTAAGGCACAGAGAGGGCCCCACCTTGGGAACCCAAGACGCGACCCCGCCCCGCCTGCCCGGGGCCCCAGTCCCTGCGGCAAAGCGAGGGCCCTGCCCCGGGCACCCTAGGCGTGACCCTGTCCCTTGCCCGGCTCCCCAGCTTCGGCAGGCAGGGCGAGGACCCCACCCTGGGCAACCCAGATGCAACCCGGCTCCCTGTGCCTGGGGTTTAGGCTTCGCAAGCACTGTAAGAGCCCTGTAGTGGGCACCAAGTTGGGCTCACCACCTGCCTGGTTCCCAAGCTCCTGCTGGCACCCCAGACACGGCCGTGTCCCCCTCCTGGAGCTACAGCCTTTGCAGCACAGGAGGGCCTGCAGCCACAGCCAGGGCCCTGTCCTGAGCAACCCAGATGCGACCAGATGTGACCACGCCCTCTACCTCCATCCCAGCCCCTGCAGGCACAGCGAAATTCCCGCTCTGGGTACCTCAGTGGGCACCCACACCCTACCCCATTCTCCACCCCTGCAGGCAGTGGGAGGGCTCCGCAGGCACAATGAGGGCAGTTGCAGCAAGGGCCCCACCACCCTGAGCAACCCAGACCCGACCCCGCCCCTGATCCAATTCCAGCCCCTACAGGTACAGGGAGAGCCCCGCCCTGGGCACCCCGGAGGTGACCCTACCACCTGCCCGGGCCACCGCTGCAGGAGGCAGGGCGAGGGCCCCACGGGTATAGCAAGGGCGGGAGCAGCTGGGTCCCCGCCCTGGGCACCCAAGATGCGACCACGCACCCCCCTGAGGTCCCAGCCCCTATAGGCACAGCAAGGCATGCTCAGGCACTGTGAGAGCCCCGCCCTGGGCACCTCACACGCAACCATGTCCCCCGTCCGGATCCCCCACCCTGCAAGCAAGGCAAAACCCGTCCCGAGTACCCCAGACTCGACCACCACTCACCTGGGTCCCAAGTCCCTGCAGGAATGCAGAGACCCCACCCTGGCCACCCCTAATGGGACCCCGCCTCCTACCCGGGTCCCCACACCTGTAGGCAGGGCGAAGGCCCCACCGTGGGCACCCAGACGCAACCCCGCCCCGTTCCCAGGACCCCAGCCCCTACAGGCTTGGCCAGGACTCTCAGGTACAACGAGGGCCCCACGCTGGGCATTCCAGATGCTACTTCCCCCCTGCCCGGATCTCCAGCCCCTGCAGGCATGCGAGAGCCCCTCCCTGGGCCCCCCAGACACTCGCTACCTCCCCCGCCCGAGTGCCATGCCCCTGCAGGAATGGCAACAGCCCCACCTTGGCCACGACAGATGGGACCCCACCTCCTATCCGGGTCCTAACCCCTACAGGCAGGCTGAAAGCCCAATACTGGTCACCCCAGACGCTACCTCCCCACCACCCGGGTCCCAAGCCCCTGAAACAATGGCGAGAACACCACCCTGGCCACCCTAGACGGGACCCCGCTTCCTACCCAGGTCCCCAGGCCCTACAGGCATGGTGAGGGACCCTCAGGCACAGCGAGGGATGCGCCCTGGGCATTCCAGACATGACCACGCCCCCCCACCCAGATCCCCAGCCCGTGCAGGCACAGCAAGAGCCCTCCTTGGGCACCCCAGATGGGTCCCCGCCCCCCCCCCTCAGGTCCCTAGCCCCTAAGGCACAGCTTGGGCCCCGCACCTCAGACGTGACCCCGCCGGGATCCACAGCCCCTGCAGGCACTGTGAGAGCCCTCCCTGGGCACCCCATATGGAACCCGCCCCGTGCCCAGGTCCCTGCACCTACAAGCATGGCGAGGAACCCCAGGCATCATGAGGGATCCGCCCTGGGCACCCCAGACCTGACCCAGCCCCCTGCCTGGGTCCCTAGCCCCTGCAGTCATGGCGAGGGCCCCATCCTGAGCACCCCAGACATGACCCCACCCGAGGTCCAAGGTCCCGCAGACACGGCTAGTGCCCCGCCCTGTGCACCCCAAATGTGATCTAACCCCCCACCCTGATACCAAGCCCCTGTAGGCATGGCAAGGGCCCCGCCCTGGGCAACCAAAATGCAACCCTTCCCCACCAACCCATGTTCCCAGCCACTGCAGGAACAGGGAGGGCCCCGCAGGCCCAGCAAGGGCCCCACCCTGGGAACCCAAGATGTGACCCTGCCCTGCCTTTTTCCCCAGCCCCTTCAGGCACAGCGAGGGATCCTTCCTGGGCACCCCAGATGCGACCCCGCCTCCCGCCAGGGTCCCCAGCACTGCAGGCAAGGCAAGAGTCCTGCAGGAACAGCGAGGGTTCCACCCTGGGCACCCCAGACACGACCCCCATCCCGCCCGGGTCCCCAGCCCCTGAAGGCAGGGTGAGGGTCCTGTCCTGGGCACCCCAGATGTGACCCCATTCCCAGACCGGGTCCCTAGCCCCTGCAGACATGGCGAGGACCCTGCCCTGGGCACCCCAGACACGACCCCGCACCCCCCCGCCTGGGGCCCAAGGCAAGAAGGCGCAGCGAGGGCTCCGCACTGGGCATACACCCCAGACAAGACCCGGCCCCATGCCTGGGTCCCCAGCCCTTATAAGCATGGCAAGGGCCTCATCCTGGGCAGTCCTACGGGACCCTGCCCCCCACCTAGGTCCCCATTCCCTGCATGAACTGCGTTGGCCCAGCAGGCACAGCGAGGGCAGGTTTGATAAGAGCCCTGCCCTGGCCACCCCAGGAGCAACCCCGCCCCCCTCTACCCAGGGCCCTAGGCCCCGAAGTTGCGGCAAAGTCCCAGCCCTGGGCACCCAAATGTGATCCTGCCCCGCCTGCCCGGGTCCCCAGCCCTTGCAGGCAGGGTGAGGGCCCCTCCCTGGGCACCCCAGTCGAGACCCTGCCACCTGCCCGGGGCCCCAGCCACACAGACCCAGTGAGGGCCCTGCCCTGGGCACCCAAGATGTGACCCTGCCCCATCTGCCCATTTCCCCAGGCCCTGCAGGCACAGCGAGGAGACCCACCCTGGGCACCCCAGATGGACCCCACACCCTGCTCGGGTCCCCAGCCCCTGGCGTCCTGGGCACCTCAGATGTGACCGCTGCCCCCTACTCCCGGGGCCCCATGCCCTGAAGGCACTGCGAGGGCCCTGCCCTGGGCACCCCCAGATGCTACCTTGTCCCCCACCCTGGTCCCAAGCCCCTGCAGGCTCGGTGAGACCCCACCCTGGGCACCCCTGATGCAACCCCGCCCCTGCCTAGGTCCCCAGTCCCGGCAGGAATTGCGAGGGCCCCGCAGGCACAGCAAGGGCAGGCACGGCCAGAACCCTGCTCTGGGCACCCCAGACGCGACCCCTTCCCCTGGCTTGTCTGGGTCCCCAGCCCCTGCAGGCACAGCAAGGGCCCCGCATGCACATCGAGGGCAGGTGTGTCAAGAGCCCCGCCCTGGGTACCCCAGGTGCAACCCCTCCGCCCTTCACCCTGGGCCCCAGGCCCCGCAGTTGCGGTGAGGACCCCGCTCTGGGCACCCCAGGCACCGCCCCCCGCCCGGGTCCCAAGCCCCTGCAGGCATGGCAAGGGCAGTGCCCTGGGCAACCAAGACACGACACCGTGCCCCTCCAGGCTCCCAAGCCCCTTTAGGCCCTTTAGGCCCATCCTGGGCACCTAAGATGCGACCCTGCCTCACCCACCCATTTCCCCAGCCACTGCAGGCACAGCAAGGGACCCGCCTGGGCACACCAGACGCTACCCAGCCCCCTGCCTGGGTCACCAGCCCCTGCAGGCATGCTGTGGCCCCGTCTTGGGCACCGCAGAGGTGACCCTACCCAGGGCCCAAGGCCCCGCAGACATGGCTAGGGCCCCACCCTGTGTACCCCAGACACAATCCTGCCCCCTGCTCTGATCCCAAACCCCTGCAGGCATGGCGAGGGCCGCACCCTGGGCACTCCAGATGCGACCCCACACCCTGCCCAGCTCCCCAGCCCCTGCATGCCCAGCAAGGGCCCCTCCATGGGCACCCAAGACGTGTCCCTGCCCTGCCCACCCGTGTCCCCAGCCACTGCAGGCACAGTGAGTGCCCCGCAGGCCCAGCAAGGGCCCTGCCCTGGGAACCCAAGATACAAACCTGCCCCGCCTGGGTCCCAGCCCCTGAAGGCATGGTGAGGGCCCTGTTCTGGGCACCCCAGATGCAACCCCACCACCTGCCCGGGCCCAGCCCCACAGACCCGGTGAGGGCCCCGCCCTGGGCACCCAAAACGCGACCCTGCCCCGCCCACCCATTTCCCCAGCCCCTGCAGGCACAGCGAGGGACCCACCCTGGGCACCCCAGATGCGGCCCCACACCCTGCCCGGGTCCCCAGCCCCTGCAGGCTTGGCGAGGGCATCATCCTGGGCACCCCAGACGTGATTGCTGCCCCCCTCGCGGGGCCCCATGCCCTGCAGGCACTGTGAGGGTCCCGTCCTGGGCACCAGATGCGACCCTGCCCCCTGCCCAGGTCCCAAGCCCCTGCAGGCACAGCAAGGGCTTGGCCCTGGGCACCCCAAATGCAACCCCTGCCCGCCAGCCCAGGTCCCCAGCACGGGGACGGCCCAGCCCTGGGCACCGCAGATGCGACCCCTCCCCCCACCTGGTTCTCCAGACCCTGCAAGAATTGCGAGGGCCCCTCAAGCACAGCGAGGGCAGGCCTGGCAAGAGCCCTGCACTGGGCACACCAGGCGCTCCCCCGCCCCCTCCCCCTCCTGGGTCCAAAGCCTCTGCAGGCATGGGAAGGAACCCACCCTGGGCACCCCAGACATGATCCCGCCCCCCACCTAGGTCCCCAGCCCCTGCAGTTACTGCGAGGGCCCCGCAGACACAGCGAAGGCATTCTAAGCAAGAGCCCTGCCCTGGGCATCTCAGGCACTACAAGGCCCTTCCTCCACCTGGGTCCCCAGCCTTTGCAGTCATGGCGAGGGCCCCGCCCTAGGCACTCCAGACGCGCCCCCCACCAGCCGGATTCTCAGCCCCTGCAGGCATGGCGATGGCCCTGTCCTGGGCACTCAAGATGTGACCCTGCCCCCTGCCCAGGCCCCGGCAGGCACAGCGATGGCCATGCAGGCACAGCCAGGGCCCTGCCCTGGGCACCCCAGACATGACTCCCCTGGCCAGGTTCTCTGCCCCTGCAGGGTTCCTAAACCCTGCAGGCACAGTGAGGGCACTGTCCTGGGCACCTCAGATGCGACCCCGCCCACAGCCCTTGTCCCCAGTCCCTGCAAGCACAGGGAGGGCCCTGCCCTGAGCACCCCGGATGTGACAATGCCCACCACCCGGATCCCCAGCCCCTGAAGGCATGGTGATGGCCCTGACCTGGGCACCCCAGACACAACTCCCCCCTCCCTGGGTCCCAAGCCCCTGCAGGCACAGCAAGAGCCCCGCCCTGGGCACCCCAGACACGACCCCGCCCCCTACCTGGGTCCCCAGCCCCTGCAGGCAGGGCGAGGGCCCACCCTGGGCACCCTAGACGCAACTCCGCTCCCCCATGCCCGGGGCCCCAGGCCCCACAGGGCCTGTGAGTGCCCTGCACTGGGCAACCCAGACGCGACCCCACTCCCTGCCCGGGGCCCCAGCACTGCAGGCAAAGCAAGGGCCCTGCAGGCACAGCGAGGGCCCTGCCCTCGGCACCCCAGACCCGACCCGGCCCCCAGCACCCCAGACACAACCTGGCCCCCTGCCCGGGTCCCCAGCCCCTGCATGCAGGGCGAAGGCCCTGTCCTGTGTACCTCAGACATGACCCCAGCATCCCATATGGGCACCGGGTTCTAGCACCGTTTGCTCCTCTTCCAGTCCAGCTCTCTGCTGTGACCTGGGAGGGCAGTGGAGGATGGCCCAAGTGCTTGGGCCCCTGCACTCACCCATGTGAAAGACCAGGAAGAAGCACCTGGCTCCTGGCTTCAGATCAGTGCAGCGCCGGTCATGGCGGCCATTTGGGGAGTGAATCAGCGGAAGGAAGACCTTTCTCTCTGTCTCTCTCTCTCTCACTTTCTATAACTCTACCTGTCAAATAAATAAAAAAAAAAAAACAGTAAAGTAAATCTTTAAAAAATAAAAGAAGAATGTGGAAAGAATTGAACTCAGGTAAGAAATCATACCATCACTAGCTTAGTGTTTTTTAAAAAAGAAATGTCCATGTGTAGTAATTATTCTCTGCACGGAGTGCTATCATTTCAAAGATATGAGCAAATATAGAATGAGATTCAACTAATAATAAATAAGTACTTTCTATAAATTATGTTAAAATATAGAATATTACAGTGTTTCAAATGAAGAAATTTTTTTACAAAAATTCTCATGTATGTGTCAAAAATACCATGTAACATATTTTATTCACATGTGCAGTGCAGATATTTGTGCTTTTTAGGCAAAATATTATCAATTTAAAAAATTTAATATAGAAAGGCTTAATGCAGGAAAATAACAAAAATTCTTAAAATGGCAAATCAGCTTGGAAGGAACAAGTTAGAACTTCCAAGATATGAGAGTGAATCCAGAAAATGAGCCAGCGAAGCAGTCAACCAAGAAGCCAATGCCCCATCCAGATAAGGGTGACAAAAAGATATCAAACCCATGTGCCTTGTACAACACTGCCACAGGTAAGTGAAATAAACAATAGAAATGAAGCGACTGAAAATCTCAGTTTTGACATACCCATGCATCAGAAATACATATATATATATATATACATATATATATGTATGTATATATTAGTTTTCATTCAGAAAATAAGGTACTAGAATTTGGGCCTTAAAAGTTTCCTTTCACATAACTCTACATATAGGAGTTATCCTTAAAATATTTAAGTCAATACAGTGAGAAAATAGGAAACCAAAATAATGTGGAAAGAACAAGTTGCAAGATTGTAAGCTATATAGAAAAGTATTGATGAGAAAGTGAAGAGTGAAAATATTATGAATAAAGTAAATATAAAACATGGGTGAGAACTGCACAGGGATGGTAAGAGGGCTGGTGAGCAAGCATATTGAGAACAATGAATCCGGTTAAATACAGTGCTGGGATACAAAGCCATACCAAATAAGTGCACAGTTACAAAAACATGAAGGTTAGCAAGAAGAGGATTGAAATATCCAATTGTTTCCCTAGAATATTAGAAAAACACACAAAGGCAATTATCAAACCAGGATGATTTAAAAGACTCTATGCTTACAAACTCTTGAGTTACAAATGCAGTGTGTCAAAAAGACACAAAAGTATACATAATCACACTTCATAACATCAGGGGAGAAAAAAATTAGAAACAGTAAGAGAAAAACAGATCATTCACAGAGGTGACTAAAATAGTCCTTTTAACAACTTGTATGGTGCTGTAAAACAGACATAAAATTAATCATGCCCAAAGCAATTATCTGAGCTAGAGTTGGATCCTTAGGTAAAATCTAGTTAATGGACCAAGATGAATAAAACACAATAAAAAATAAACAGAGATTTGATTACCAACAGGAGCTTTCTAAACCTACATGTCAAGAATAAATGTTTTTCTACAGTAAAGAAAATGAAATAAGATGATACATGATATGCATCAAACTATGATTTACAATGAAGTAAAGAATTATCAAATAATTGCACTTTATTTTAATCTGATAAATTATCATTTTGCTCTTAAAACTGTATATATGGGCCGGCGCCACGGCTCACTAGGCTAATCCTCCGCCTAGCGGCGCCGGCACACCGGGTTCTAGTCCCGGTTGGGGCGCCGGATTCTGTCCCGGTTGCCCCTCTTCCAGGCCAGCCCTCTGCTGTGGCCAGGGAGTGCAGTGGAGGATGGCCCAACTACTTGGGCCCTGCACCCCATGGGAGACCAGGATAAGTACCTGGCTCCTGGCTCCTGCCATCGGATCAGCGCGGTGCGCCGGCCGCAGCGTGCCGGCCGCGGCGGCCACTGGAGGGTGAACCAACGGCAAAGGAAGACCTTTCTCTCTGTCTCTCTCTCTCACTGTCCACTCTGCCTGTCAAAAAAAAAAAAAAAACCTGTATATATGAAAAAATGAAATGTTCCTCTTACAGAAATTAAAAAAATTTTATGCTACTGAATAATTTAACTGCATTAAAATATATTTTCAAGAAAAATATCCCATCACAATATTAGTAAACATTAATGGCTCTTACATTGTGTGCTTTTCAGAATACTGATTATTCTTTTTATCAGAACTGAGCAGCACCACAGGACTAACTGTAGCATAAGCATTAAATACTAAGTTCCAGATACTCAGACTTTGTTGTATGTCCACCACACATGGACTGAGATGGACAGGATGATGAGGTTAAGGTGGTAGGTGACCACAAAGGCACTCACCAGCATTCATTCTCCCCCCTTCCTCTCTCCTCCAGCCTCCTCTTGACACCCACTCTTCTCCACCTTCTATCTCAGCTACCCCTCACACACATGCTCCCCACTCACTGTCCCCCGGGCCCCTCCTACCCAGTGACAGGAAGGCCACCACGCCAAACTCTCCGCAGAAAGAGCCTTTCTGTTCCTCTGACACAGGAATCCAGACCTGAGGTGTAGTCTTTCAGAGGGGCCAAAGAAGAGGACTGTGCCTAGAAAGTTCCAGAAGCACAAGATAACTGAGTGGCTACCTCACCACAGTTTCACCTAATCCTGGCTTGACCCTGGCGGGGGGTGGGGGAGGCACTGTATCTCCTCAGGCTCAGCCACCAGCATCGAAATCAGCAACTCAGGGCTTGCACAAGCTCTGAGCTGGGGCAGACATGACGCTGACTCCCACCGGAGCACCGTGCAGAAGAAACAGATGCACCTGCGGGTGCACTTCCGGGTCACAGTGCTGGGCACAGGCACACTCCTCACCGGTGACCGACAGGGCACCAAGGGATGCAGCTATGCCCTGATGCCCCAGGACCACTTCCATTCCTGCCTCATCAGGCTGTGACCCAGGGAGGCAGCCACTGAAGGCCCAGGCACTCTGGACCCAGCTACCCTGTCTAGTGGGAGTCCTGAATGGAGCTCCTGCCTCCTGGTTTCTGCCTGGACCAGCGCTGGCCCTTGCTGCTGCTTGGGGAGAGCAGCAGTGCAAGCAGCATCATGAGCACTCTTTCTCACTCTGAGTGATCATCCATCTGGGGGGTTACCCCCCAGGTGGCTACAAAGGCCAGGGCTCGGCCAGGCCAAAGCAGAAGTGAGGGACTTTATCCGGTGCCCAATTCTGGGTTCAGGGTCCTAAGACCTTGGGCCTTCTCCCTCTGCTTTCCCAGCAATGTTAGCAGACAGCAGCATTCCATGGGCAATGGCTTCCGGAGGACCTGGCATTGTGGGGTAGTGGCTATAGCCACCACCCACATCGCACATCCCATCTAGGCGCCAGTTCGAGTCCTGGATGCTGCACTTCTGATGTGGCTCTCTGCTGTGGTTTGGGAAGGCAGTAGAAGATGGCCCAACTCCTTGTGCCCTTGTACCCATGAAGGAGACCACAGGGAGGTTCCAGGCTCCTGCTTTTAGATCTCCTCTGCTCTGGCCATTGCAGCCGAATAGGAAGTGGAACAGCAGATGGAAAACCTATGTATCTGTCTCTCTCTTTCTCTCTCTCGCTCTCTCTGCCTCCCATCCTCTCTGTGTATATGTCTGAATTTCAAATAAATAAATATTTAAGAAAAAGTAAAAATTAAAAAAGGAAGACATAGCTGTAAATAAAATACAGGCCAACTACTAGAGTTTATTTACAAACTGATACTATAGGTATTGCATACCAAATAGACACAGAATTTGAAAAACAATTTAAATCAGGCTTAGAAAAGATTCTAGTACCAATTCATTCTCTTCTTCCTTACAAACATTCTGTGTGGCATTATCTCTGACTTAAGCATGAGGAAATCTTTGTAATTTATTTATTCAGACACTTATGTACCCACTCACACAAGGACTTGAAACATCTGTGATCTACAGAGTTCTCCATGGAACACAGGTCTACTTCCCAGACACCACCCTGCACAGTCTAGCCCTGCATTTAAAGTACGGATCATGTTGGAAACAGGCCAAATCACATGTCCCACAAAGCAAGAGAGAACACAGAAAGGTAGCATCTGAGGTCACTATTGACATTTTCTACATGCACACGATCATGTTGGTACTTCTTCTCTAATTTCTCATTGTAGATACAAATTGGGAGGGAGGAAGTCCAACTATCCGTATTTGCAGATGACACAATTCTATATATAGGAGATCCAAAAGACTCCACTAAGAGACTATTGAAATTCAGAGTAGAGTTAGGTAATGAGCCAGGATAAAAAATCAAGTCTTTGTATACACAGACAATGTTATGGCTGAGAAAGGAATTCTAAGATCAAGCCCATTCACATAGCTACAAAGAAAATAAAAAGCTTGGAATAATTTAACCAAGGATGTTCAACATCTGGGAATCACAAAAGATTAAAGAGAGAGATACAAGAGGACACCAAAAAAAAAAAAATGGAGAAGCTTCTGCCCTGCAAAAGAAAACACTCAGCCAAGTAAAGAGGCAACTAACGGAATGGGAGAAATTATATGCAAAGTATGCAACTGATAAAGGATAAACTAAACCACAAGAAACTTTCAAAAAATTCAACTACAGCAAAACAAACCACCCACTCAGGAAATGGGCAAGGGGCTTCCACAGGCATATTTCAAGAAAGGAAATCTAGGAGAAACAGTGACTTGATCAGCTCTTGTCCTGACTGTTGACGTACAATGTAATACTTTATCCATTTTAGTATTTTTTTTTGTTTTGTTCTAGTACTATTGGTTGAACACTGTAATTAACACACAATTATTCTTAGGTGTTTAAATTTTAACTGAAAAGTGATCCCTGTTAAATATAAGAGTAGGAATGAGAGAGGGAGGAGATGTACAATTTGGGACATGCTCAAGCTGACTTGCCCCAAATGCTGGAGTTAGAAAAGTGCCAGGGGATTCCAATTCAATCCCAACAAGGTGGCATGTACCAATGCCATCTCACTAGTCCAAGTGATCAATTTCAGTTCACAACTGATCACACTGATAGGTCTAAGAGTCAAAGGGATCACACAAACAAGATTAGTGTCTGCTAATACTAACTGACAGAATCAAAAAGGGAGAGAATGATCCATCATGGGAAGCGGGATACACAGCAGACTCATAGAATGGCAGATGTTCTGAACAGCACTCTGGCCTCAGAATCAGCCCTTAAGGCATGCGGATATGGCTGAAGAGCCCATGAGAGTATTTTAGGCATGGAAAGCCAAGACACTCTGGAAAAAAAAAAGAAGACCTAAATGAAAGATCTCTGCAAGTGACCCCAGTGGAAAGAACGGGGCCATCAAAGAAGGACGTACCTTTCACTGAAGGGAGGAGAAAACTTCCACTTTGACTATGACCCTGTCGGAATAAGATCGAAGTCGGCAAACTCAAAAGGCTTCCAGAGCCTTGGCAACTCATGACTAGAGCCTAGGGAGATTACTGACACCATAAACAAGAGCATCAAATTGTTAAGTCAACAACAGGAGTCACTGTGTCCTTACTTCTCATGTGGCATCTGTCCTTAATTTGTTGTCCAATGTGAATTAATGCTATAACTAGTACTCAAACAGTATTTTACACTTGTGTTTCTATGTGGGTGCAAACTGATGAAATCTTTATTTAATATATACTGAATCAATCTTCTGTATATAAAGATAATTGAAAATGAATCTTGATGTGAATGGAATGGGAGAGGGAGCGGGAGATGGGAGGGGTGGAAGTGTAAGGGAAATTATGTGTGTGGGGGGAGCCATTGTAATCCATAAACTGTACTTTGGAAATTTATATTTACTAAATAAAAAAATGAAAAAGAAAAAAGAAAAAAAGAAAGGAAATCTAAATGTCCAACAAACATATGTAGAAATGCTAAGTATCACTACCCATCAGGGAAATGCAAATCGAAATTACAATTACCTTGAAGATGTGAGGGAAAAGGCACCCTAATCCACTGCTGGTGGGAATGTAAACTGGTATCACCACTGTGGAAGACAGTATGGAGATAAGTCAGAAATCTGAATACAGACGTAGCATATGAGCCAGCCACTCCAGCTCTGGGAATGCACCCAAGGGGAATGAAATCAGCATAAAAAAAGAGTTCTCTCTGTCCCCACATTTACCACAGCTCAATTCACAAGAGCAAACATATGCCATCAGCCAAAATGCTGATCACCTCAAGACTGAATAAAGACATTACGGGCTATGGACACCATACATGCGTCTGCAGACTGCATAGCCTGGCTATTGTGCATCCTACTGCAATACGCATAGGCCTGTGAAAGCCTCTCTGTCTACACAATGATTGCGTTTCCTTCAATATGTTCCCAGTAGTGGGTACACCCATACAGTTTTCCATGTTGACAGGACCAATTTCACATGAGAAATTGTATTGCTATACAGGTATATATTACAGAATACAGACATCGGATCCATAAACCCAATTTTGCCTTCAAACACTAGAACAGCAAAGTAAATCTGAAGAAACTGGAAGGAGGAAAATGATTCAAACGGAAATAAAGTCAACAGCATAGAAAATATCACAAAAGACATTCACTGAGACCAAAATACAGTTCTTGAAAACTCAGTGAAACTGACAAAAGAGGAAACAGGGGGGAAAAGGAGAACAGACTCAAGTGACTTGACAACAGAAATGACAGAGAGGACATCACTACCAACCTTGCCAAAATAATAAACCAAAAATACTAGGGAAAAACCAGGCACGGGGATTTGGTCAACCTAGATAGAGTGGATTGATTCTCAGAAAGATGCAAACCACTAAACCTGAATACAGTAAAACAAGAAACTCGGAATACACTTATAATTTGAAAAGAGACTGTAGTTGCAGGGAAACAGAAACAAACGAAAAAGACAAGAAGAAAAGTCCAGTGAGAACTCCACTTAAAAGATAATTAAAATCCGTGATTCACACACCATCCCAAAAAGGGGATGAAGAGGAAAAGCCTTCCATTTCATTCCATCAGACCAGCATTATCCCAACATCCCAAAAAAGCACACCACAAAGAAAATGGCACACAAATATCCGTCGTGAATGTGTCACAGGCCTCAACAAAATATGATCAGATGCCATCCAGAAGCACAACCAAAGCTTAGCACACTGAGTGCAACTGAGTTTCTCCAGAAATGCAAGGATGCCTACCATACAAAATCAATCTATCACAGAACAGAACACACATGGGGAAAGCCCACAAAGTATCCCAACAGACACAGAAAACCTATTCCACAAAAACTCCCGTGACTTTTGCGATACTAAAAAACAAATCATCAAATTAGGAAGGAAGGTACACCTCGGCCTGACAAGGCTCTTTCATTAAAAACCCACAGAGCGCTAATATCACACCCAATGCCAGGAACCCGAAACTGTCCTCCTAGACCAGGACACAGACACGCACTTTCGCTCTCATTCCTCCTGACAATAGTCTCAGAGGTCTAGAGCAGGGAGGCTGGGCCCTGGAAAAGCAAACAGACAAGAACACAAGGCCGTTCCGGGAGGAGACCCAGCCACCTCTGCTCTTGCACAGCTGCACGCACCCTGGGGACCCTTCCAGACCATCCGCACTGCACGACCGCGACTCCACCCGCGCCTTCAGGACCCAAGAGCAACAGGCAAGCCTGCAGTCAAGACCCCCAGCGGGACACCGCAACAGCCATGCGTCACTCACCTCCGGGGGGGGGGGGGCGGTCTGCCGGCAGGACAGAGGTCCGCGAAGGCCATTGCTTCCCGAAGGGGCCAAAGAATAGAAACACGCCTGGGAAATGGCGAGGAAGCCTCGGACCCGCACCCTCTCCTGATCCTGGCCTGACCCTGGGGCCGCTGGGTCTCCCTCAGGCTCTGTCAGCAGCATCAAGTAGGGCTCCTCCCCCCACCTCTTGCGTGGGCTCCCGGGCAGGAGCAGACGCGGCGCTAACTCCCAGCGGAGCAGCGCGGGGCAGTTGAGGCCAGGCGTGTGGGTGCACTTCCGGGTCACAGCGCCAGGCCCAGGCGCAGGCGCACTCCCCACGGGCTGTCACCATGGCACCCCAGGACACATCTGCACACTGCTGCATCCACGCGGTGACCCAGGGACGCAGACGCTGATAGCCCACGTTCTCTGGAGCCCACCCTCATTGTAATGCATAAGCTGTACTTTGGAAATTATATTCATTAAATAAAAGTTAAAAAAATTTTAAAGAATAACAATACTCACTTTTCACTTCCTTCTCAGGTAGGACCTCTGTCCCTATTGAATAGTAATATGAGAATTGACTGCAAATTCTCTCCCCAAACTGTACTCTACATGTTGTATGTTGGCGTGGGTGCAAATTGCTGAAGTCTATGATTAGCATAGAATTGGTTTTCTATATATACAGTCATACTAAAAATGATCCATAATGAAGAATGAGATGGGAGCGAGAATGGGAGCTGGGATGGGGGTTGGAGGGATATGGGGAAAGAACCACTATAGTCCAAAAGTTGTATCTATGTAAAAATGTATTCATTAAATTAAAATTAAAATAAAAAAATGCTCAGGATCACTAGCCATCAGGGAAATGGAAATCAATTCTACAATGGACTTGAGCATGTGAGGGAAATGGCAACCTAATCCACTGCTGGTGGGAATGTAAACTGGTATCACCACTGTGGAAGACAGTATGGAGATAAGTCAGAAATCTGAATACAGACGTAGCATATGAGCCAGCCACTCCAGCCCTGGGAATGTACCCAAGGGAAATGAAATCAGCATAAAAAAAGAGTTCTCTCTGTCCCCACATTTACCACAGCTCAATTCACAAGAGCAAACATATGCCATCAGCCAAAATGCTGATCACCTCAAGACTGAATAAAGACATTATGGGCTATGGACACCATACATGCGTCTGCAGACTGCATAGCCTGGCTATTGTGCATCCTACTGCAATAAGCATAGGCCTGTGAAAGCCTCTCTGTCTACACAATGATTACGTTTCCTTCAATATGTTCCCAGTAGTGGGTACACCCATACAGTTTTCCATGTTGACAGGACCAATTTCACATGAGAAATTGTATTGCTCTACAGGTATATATTAGAGAATACAGACATCGGATCCATAAACCCAATTTTACCTTCAAACACTAGAACAGTAAAGTAAATCTTAAGAAACTGGAAGCAGGAAAATGATTCAAACGGAAATAAAGTCAACGGCATAGAAAATATCACAACAAAAATTCAGTGAGACCAAAATACAGTTCTTGAAAACTCAGTGAAACTGACACTACGTTTATACACATGAAACAAGCAAAAAAGAGAACAGACTCAAATAACTTAACAAGAGAAATGACAGAGAGGACATTACTAACAACCTTACTAAAATAATAATCAAAAACACTATGGAAAAATGAAGGCACAAGAATTTGGTCAATGTAGATACAGTGGATTGATTCTCAGGAAGAAATAAACCCCCAAAATGAATGTAGTCAAACTAGAAATTGTGAATATACTTTTAAATTGAAATGAGACTCTATTAGCAGGGAAACCAAAAACCAAACACAAAAAATGAATATAATTCCAGGACCACAAGGCTTCACCAGTGAGAACTCCCAGTTACAGGGTAATTAAAATCCATGATTCACAAATCCTTCCAAAAAGGAGATTAAGAGGGAAAACATCCAATTTTCTTCCATCAGACCAGCATTATCCCAACATCAAAAACAAACACATAATAAAGAAAGTGGCATATAAATATCTGTCATGGCCGGCGCCGCGGCTCACTAGGCTAATCCTCCGCCTAGCGGCGCCGGCACACCAGGTTCTAGTCCCGGTCGGGGCGCCGGATTCTGTCCCGGTTACCCCTCTTCCAGGCCAGCTCTCTGCTGTGGCCAGGGAGTGCAGTGGAGGATGGCCCAGGTGCTTGGGCCCTGCACCACATGGGAGACCAGGAAAAGCACCTGGCTCCTGGCTCCTGCCATCGGATCAGCGCGGTGCGCCGGCCGCAGCGCGCCGGCCACGGTGGCCATTGGAGGGTGAACCAACGGCAAAGGAAGACCTTTCTCTCTGTCTCTCTCTCTCACTGTCCACTCTGCCTGTCAAAAAAATAAAAATAAAAAATAAATAAATAAATAAAAATCTGTCATGAATCTGTCATAATCCTGAACAAATTGCCAAATGCGATCCAGAAGCACAACCAAAGCTTAGCTCACAGTGCGCAACTGAGAGTTACTCCAGGAATTCAAGGATGGCTACCATACAAAATCAATATATCCCAGAACAGAATCAACAAGAGAAAAGGCCACACATTATCCCTACAGACACAGAAAAACTATTTCACAAAAACTTCCATTACTTTCTCTGATATTAAAAAAAAAAAAATCATCAAATTAGGAACGGAAGGTACACCTCGGCCTGACAAGGCTCTTTCATGAAAAACCCACAGAGCGCTAACATCACACCCAATGCCAGGAACCCGAAACTGTCCTGACCAGGACACAGACATGCATTTTGGCTCTCGTTCCATCAACAGTCTCAGAGGTCTAGAGCAGGGCAGCTGGGCCCTCAAAAAGCAAACAGAAGGGAATGCATGGCCCTTCAGGGAGGAGACCGAGCCACCTCTGCTCTCACACAGCTGCTCGCACACTGGGGACCCTTCCAGACTGTCCACACAGCACAACCGACCGCGACTATACCTGCGCCTTCGGTACACATGAGCAACAGGCACGCCTGCAGCCAAGACCCCCAGTGGGAAACCGCAACAGCCACGCGTCACTCACCTCCAAGGGGGCCTGGTCTGCTGGCGGGACAGCCATTGCTTCCAGAAGGGGCTGAAGAAGAAAAATACCACATTTCTGTTGGCTGCAGACCAGTGCAGGGAGCTTCCCCACCGGGCTGTGCCCTCTACATTCCCTCCTTCTCACCATCAAACAGCCCAGCGAGGCAGGCTGGGAAAATTGTAGGACACCTGGTGCCACTTAGTATAGCCACTAATGCCATCAGGTGACCTTGACAGACAACAAATTACAAGGACTTCTTGGCTCCACGTGGGGGGCCTCTGCATCCAGGCAGAGCCTTGTAGCAAGAGCGCTTTGGGAACACATGTGCAATGCACACAGAGGAACACGGGAGGGTACGGTAGGAATGAATGAATAAGGGCCTCTGGCTTCTTGCTTCCATGAGTCAGTGTGGCCCTGTGGTGACAGATAAAGAAAGAACGGCTGTGGTTCCCTGGCAGTAAGTATCTCAGCAAGGGGACCACCTGTGTTCAAGGCCAGTATCTCCCTCCAGACCCTCCCCTTGCCCACCACCTTAACACAAGTCAAGCTGCATGGCTGGAAGAAATCCCAAGCAAAGACGTGAGCCAACACTCTGGCCTGTCTGTCCTGGTGGACACTCAGTCAGGGAAGAGTTATCCTTTCCCTAAATCCTGCCCTTCATAGCTCAAGCTGCAGATCCTCTCTGTTAAAGTCTGTCCCCCTAGAGTCAACCAAACCACACTCAGACCTGACCAGAGTAGCTACAGATCCCAGGGGGGCTCATGCTCAGGGCAGCTGAGGACATGAAGACCACCACACAGACCACAGATCCCGCCAAAGGTGGGCTGCAAGTCTGAACCACAGGCGGTGTGAGCAGTGCGATGACAGTGCAAGCCACTGCTCAGAGGGAACCAATTCAAGACCCAGCCCTGGCATAGCCACCAGATGCCAGTGACACAGCTGTCATAACAGCTCATCTTCTCTCCTAGGCCAAGCAAGGATGCACCCCAGAGCTTCTCGCCCCTGCCACAGCAGAAGCCCTGCTCTTCCTGGTGTGAAACAGCATGCAGGGACTGCACTGGTCTGCAGCCAACAGAAATGTGGTATGCATCACTCCTCTCCTGGATGCCATTCCCAGCCTTGGGACCACGGTTCAACTGTGGCCAGACACACGGTGGTAGTGGCAACAGGGAGCACACACTTTATCGGCACCTGTCACTGCATGGGCTGCCCTATCCTCCTCTGGCCAGGCAACTGCTTGGGAGCTGGAGCCGAGGGACTGCAGCAGGAGTGACAGCTGCTCTGAATAGGCCTTGTCATTCTCTCCCTAGCATGTCACCCACTAAGAATATTTTTACTGTTAGGCCTCAGCTAAGGGATATTATCAGAACAAGTAAGTGAAGGCATAGAAAGACAGTTGACAAGAAGGCCATTTTACTGAAGTAATTACAGACAACTTTTTTAATTTGAGGAAAGGAACAGTGGAGCACAGGAAGCACATGGAAGTCCTAATACACACGACCTGAAAGATCTTCACTGTGACCCACCGCAGTCAAATTCTTCACACTCCAACATGAAGACAAGATTCTAAAATCATACAAGAGAAACACCAGACCCTTTTTAGAAGATCTCTGATTAGAATCACATCTGACTTCTCATCAGACACCCTATACGGGCTAGGAGAAAGTGGGGAGATGTATGCCAAGTCTTAAAAAAAAAAGAGCTGTTAACCAAAAATAAAGTACTTTGCAAATCTCTCACTTATGAAACAAGATAAAATAAAAAATTAGAGCCTGGTGAGGACATATCGTCTGGCCTCTTGACACACACTTATTCTGCTCCACAATAAACTTTCCACTTCAGCTTCCTGTGACTTTCTGAAATATCCACCTGTATCTACTCAAGACATTGAAATCAGTTATAAATCCTCCAACAACGAAAATGATAAGCCCTCATATCCAATACCACTTCACTAGGCCATAAAGCAAGTCTCAGCAAATTCAAAAGAATTAGAATCATACCATGAGCTTCTCAGACCACAGTGGAATGAAGGTGGAAATTAGCAACTCAGGAATCCCTGGAGCATATGCAAACACATGGAGATTGAACAACATGCTCCTGAATGAACAATGGGTCATTCAAGAAATCAAAAGAGAAATCAAAAACTCTCTGGAAGTAAATGAGGATAAAGACACAACATATCAAAAATTATAGAATATGTCAAAAGCAGTGTTGAGAGGAAAGTTTATAGCAATAGGTGCCTACATCAAGAATTGGAAAGGCACCAAATAAATGAGCTTTCGATTCATCTCAAGGATCTAGAAAAACTGCAGAAAACCAGACCCAAATCTAGTAGGAGAAGAGAAATAATTAAAATCAGAGAAGAAATCAATAGGATTGACTCCAAAAAATTTACAAAAAAATCAGCCAAACGAGGAGCTGGTTTTCAGAAAAAATAAACAAAATTGTCACCCCATTGGCACAACTAACTAAAAAAAGAAAAGACTCAAATCAATAAAATCAGAGATGAAAAAGGAAAAATAACAACAGACACCACAGAAATAAAAAGAATCATCAGAAAGTACTACAAGGACGTGTATGCCAGCAAACAGGGAAATCTACCAGAAATAAACAGTAATAAAGGTCCTCCCAACAAAGAAAAACCCAGGACCAGATGGATTCACTGCTGAATTCTATCAGACATTTAAAGAACTAACTCTAATTCTTCTCAAACTATTCAGAACAATCGAAAAAGGGGGAATCCTCCCAAATTCTTTCTATGAATCCAGCATCACCTTAATTCCTAAGCCGGAAAAAGATGCAGCATTGAAAGAAAATTACAGACCAATATCCCTGATGAACATAGATGCAAAAATCCTCAATAAAATTCTGGCCAATAGAATGCAACAACACATCAGAAAGATCATCCACCCAGACCAAGTGGGATTTATCCCTGGTATGCAGGGATGGTTCAATGTGTGCAAATCAATCAATGTGATACACCACATTAACAGACTGCAGAAGAAAATCCATATTGTTATCTCAATAGACGCCGAGAAAGCATTTGATAAAACACGACACCCATTCATGATGAAAACCCTAAGCAAACTGTGTATAGAAGAAACATTCCTCAATACAATCAAAGCAATTTATGAAAAACCCACGGCCAGCATCCTATTGAATGGGGAAAGTTGGAAGTATTTCCACTGAGATCTGGTACCAGACAGGGATACCCACTCTCACCACTGCTATTCAACATAGTTCCTGAGGTTTTAGCCAGAGCTGTTAGGGAAGAAAAAGAAATTAAAGGGATACAAATTGGGAAGGAAGAACTCAAATTATCCCTCTTTGCAGATGATATGATTCTTCATTTAGGCGACCCAAAGAACTCTACTAAGAGACTATTGGGACTCATAGAAGATTTTGGCAAAGTAGCAGGGTATAAAATCAATGCACAAAAATCAACAGCCTTTGTATACACAAGCAATGCCACGGCTGAGAAAGAACTGCTAAGATCAATCCCATTCACAATAGCTACAAAAACAATCAAATACCTTGGAATAAACTTAACCAAGGATGTTAAAGATCTCTATGATGAGAATTACAAAACCTTAAAGAAAGAAATAGAAGAGGATACCAAGAAATGGAAAAATCTTCCATGCTCATGGATTGGAAGAATCAATATCATCAAAATGTCCATTCTCCCAAAAGCAATTTATAAATTCAATGCAATACCAATCAAGATACCGAAGACCTTCTTCTCAGATCTGGAAAAATTGGTGCTGAAATTTATATGGAGGCACAAGAGACCTCGAATAGCTAAAGCAAACTTGTACAACAAAAACAAAGCCGGAGGCATCACAATACCAGATTTCAGGACATACTACAGGGCAGTTGTAATCAAAACAGCATGGGACTGGTACAGAAACAGATGGATAGACCAATGGAACAGAATTGAAAAACCAGAAATCAACCCAAACATCTACAGCCAACTTATATTTGATCAAGGATCTAAAACCAATTCCTGGAGCAAGGACAGTCTATTCAATAAATGGTGCTGGGAAAACTGGATTTCCACGTGCAGAAGCATGAAGCAAGACCCCTACCTTACACCTTACACAAAAATCCACTCAACATGGATTAAAGACCTAAATCTACGACCTGACACCATCAAGTTACTAGAGAACATTGGAGAAACCCTTCAAGATATTGGCACAGGCAAAGAGTTTCTGGAAAAGACCCGGGAGGCACAGGCAGTCAAAGCCAAAATCAACTATTGGGATTGCATCAAATTGAGAAGTTTCTGTACTGCAAGGCAAACAGTCAGGAAAGTGAAGAGGCAACCGACAGAATGGGAAAAAATATTTGCAAACTAAGCAACTGATGAAGGGTTAATAACCAGAATCTACAAAGAGATCAAGAAACTCCAAACAACAAAACAAACAACCCACTTAAGAGATGGGCCAAGGACCTCAATAGACATTTTTCAAAAGAGGAAATCCAAATGGCCAACAGGCACATGAAAAAATGTTCACGATCACTAGCAATCAGGGAAATGCAAATCGAAACCACAATGAGGTTTCACCTCACCTTGGTGAGAATGGCTCACTTTCAGAAATCTACCAACAACAGATCCTGGCGAGGATGTGGGGAAAAAGGGACACTAACCCACTGTTGGTGGGAATGCAAACTGGTCAAGCCACTATGGAAGTCAGTCTGGAGATTTCTCAGAAACCTGAATAGAACCCTACCATACAACCCAGCCATCCCACTCCTTGGAATTTACCCAAAGGAAATTAAATTGGCAAACAAAAAGGCTGTCTGCACCTTAATGTTTATTGCAGCTCAATTCACAATAGCCAAGACCTGGAATCAACCTAAATGCCCATCAACAGTAGACTGGATAAAGAAATTATGGGACATGCACTCTATAGAACACTATACAGCAGTCAAAAACAATAAAATCCGGTCATTTGCAACAAAATGGTGGAATGTAGAACACATCATGCTGAGTGAATCAAGCAAGTCCTAAAGGGAGAAATATCATATGTTCTCCCTGATTGGTGACAACTAACCGAGCACCAAAAAGGAAACCTGGTGAAGTGAAATGGAAACTACGAGAAACAGTGACTTGATCAGCCCTTGTCCGGACTGTTGATGTACAATTTCATACTTTACCCCTCTTAGCATTTTTTTGTTCTACTTAATACTATTGGTTGAACTCTGTAATTAACACACAATTATTCTTAGGGGTTTAAAGTTAACTGAAAAGTGATCCCTGTTAAATATAAGAGTGGGAATAAGAGAGGGAGGAGATGTACAATTTGGGACATGCTCAAGCTGACTTGCCCCAAATGCTGGAGTTAGAAATGTGCCAGGGCATTCTAACACAATCCCATCAAGTTGGCATGTACCAATGCCATCTAACCAGTCCAAGTGAACAATTTCAGGTCACAATAGATCATAATGATAAGTCTAAGAGTCAAAGGGATCACACAAACAAGACTAGTGTCTGATAATACTAACTGATAGAATCAAAAAGGGAGAGAACGATCCAACATGGGAAGCGGGATACACAGCAGACTCATAGAATGGCAGATGTTCTAAACAGCACTCTGGCCTCTGAATTAGCCCTTAAGACATTTGGATATGGCTGAAGAGCCCATGAGAGTATTTTAGGCATGGAAAGCCAAGACACTCAGGCTAAAAAAAAAAAAAAAAAAAAGAGAAAAAGAAAAAGAAAAAAAACAACCTAAAGGAAAGATCTCTGTGAGTGAGATCCCAGTAGAAAGAACCGGCCATCAAAGAAGGAGGTCCCTTTCTCTGAAGAGAGGACAGAACTTGCACTTTGACTATGACCTTGTCGAAATAAGATTGAAGTCAGCGAACTCAAAAGGCTTCCATAGCCTTGGCAACTCATGACTAGAGCCTAGGGAGATTACTGACACCTTAAACAAGAGTGTCAATTGGTAAAGTCAACAACAGGAGTCACTGTGCACTTACTCCTCATGTAGGATCTCTGTCCTTAATGTGTTGTTCAATGTGAATTAATGCTATAAGTAGTACTCAAACAGTATTTTACACTTTATGTTCTGTGTGGGTGAAACTGATGAAATCCTTACTTAATATATACTAAGTTGATCTTCTGTATATAAAGATAATTGAAAATGAATCTTCATGTGAATGGAATGGGAGAGGGAGCAGGAGATGGGAGGGTTGTGGGTGGGAGGGAAGTTATGGGGGAAAGCCATTGTAATCCATAAACTGTACTTTGGAAATTTATATTTACTAAATAGAAGTTTAAAAAAAATCAATTGTATAGTACCATCATCAACAGGTAGACACTGATTTGAAATTTAAAATAGCCTACTGAAACGAAAACTCTATCAATAAAATACACAGCATGTTGGCTGAAGATTAAAATGCTGATGAAGGAAACTAAAGAAGATCTAAGTAAATACGCTGTGCATTGGACTGGAAGACTGAATATTATTAATATAACATTTCTTCTAAAATGGTTCTAGGTTCAACACCATTTAAATAAAAAACAAAACAAAACAAAAAAAAAACAACCAACGGAAAAAAACCTCCAGCAAGAGGTTTTTGAGAAAAAAAAAAAAACAAACATGAATGTAGTTAGGAAAACTCAAGACAATTGACTATCAACTTCACCATGAAAAACAAGGAACTGGGTGAAATGACAACTGTCTTTGCAGACTTTCAATAAACCTACAATAACCAAGACCTTGCTTTGGGATTCCTGAAACAACAGAAGAAACACATTTCAACAGAGTAGGATAGTGAATCCAAAAGTAAACCTCATCCCAAAATACATAAGCAACCATTGTTAAAACTACAAAGAGAAATAAACAAAGGCACTATTACACTCACAGACGTCAAGACATCTCTTTCGTTACCAGATCAGCAGTCAGACCATCAGTAAGGATGTAGCTGAACAGAACAGCACCTGAATCAACCAAGTGTTGAACGGATCCTTCGAGGATGCTCTGTCCACAGCACCGCAACACAACACTCTTCTCAGACCCACATGGCACATCCACTCTGTGGAGCTGCTGGGACTCGAACCAACGCCCATGTGGGATGCTGGTACATGCAGGGGTGGCTTCATCCACTATGCCACGGCTGCTCCCACCCCACCCCCCACCCCCCATCAACCCAGGCTATTCCAATTTGAGATCCAGCTGCCTGCTCAAATGCCTAGGAAAGCAGAGGAAGCACCCCAAGGACTTGGGCCACCTTAATTCGCACTGCAGTACTGGATAAAGTACCTGGCCTGTGCTCCCGCCTGGCCCAGCGCCGGCCATTGTAGCCACCTGGGGTGTGAATCCATACCCTGAAGATCTCTCCTGCACCGCCTCATCTAGAACTCTGCCTTGCAAACCAATTATTCCATAGGAAAAATAATACTTAGTACTTACTGTGAGGTGTCAGAATTTTGGACAGGCTGGAACAGAGCACAGAGGGATTCTTGGCGTTTCTCTAAGCTTCTGCTTTCTCCTCCATGTGTGCAGTCTGAAAATTCACCGGATTACATTCCAATTAATTCAAGCACCCCGTGCCCCCGTGTTCCTGCACACACAACCTTACACTGCTGAACAACCTGGAGCAGAGAGGCCGTGAGTCAAGGCCTCTTCTACGGACGCCAAGGCTACATCTGGCCAGGCACAGAAAACCCCCCAAAATGACCCAGCTCCCAACCCCCCTCCCACACACCCCCCAGGGCTCCCGTCACTCTCTCCCTCCTTTCCTCTCCCCCACACGCCTTTCTCCCCCTCCCTTCCTCGCCTCCCCACCTTCATTCTCTCCACTTCCTCTCTTCTCCCGCCTCTCCTTTGTCCTCCCTCTCCTCCACCTTCTACCCAGTGACACCCCACACACACCCCCTCCCCGCACTCTGCACCTCGAGCCACGCCTACCCCGTGACGGGAAGTCCACCGTGCCGAATCCCCTCACAAAGAGCATTTCTGTTCCTCAGGAACAGGAACCGAGTCCTGAGGTGTAGTCTTCGGGAAGGGGCCGAAGCAGAGGACCGCGCCTGGAAGTTTCCAGAAGCCCAAGGAACTGATGCGGCCGCCTCGGGCCGCAGCCTCACCTGATCCTGGCCTGAGCCTGGGAGGCCCTGGACTCCTCAGGTTTGGCCACCAGCGTCAAAGACGGCTCCTCAAGGCTCGCTCAAGCCGTGGGCAGGAGTGGGCACGGCCCTGACTCGCACCCATGCACTGAAGGCAGAAGCGGCCACGCCTGTGGGTGCACTTCCGGGTCAAAGCACCGGGCGCAGGCGCACTCCTCACTGGCCATCGCCATGGCGCCACGGGACGCATCTGTGCACTGCCGCATCCAGCGCCCGAAACCACAGGCCCGCCTCAGTCAGCTGCTCTTGCTCCAGGTTGTGATAAAGGGAGGCAGCCGCTGAGGCCTGGGTACTCTGGACCCTGGCTCGCTGCCTCCCTGCCTCCCTGCCTCCCTGCCTCCCTGCCTCCCTGCCTCCCTGCCTCCCTCCCTCCCTCGTGGGAGTCCTGAATGGAGCTCCTGCCTCCTGACTTCTGCCTGATCCAGTGCTGGCCGTCAAAGCCGTTTGGGGAGAGAAGCAGTGCAGGGGGCATCGCCAGCACTCTTTCTCTCTCTCTCAGTGATCGTCCATCTGCGGGTTCACCCCTCAGGTGGCTACAAAGGCCAGGGCTGGGACAGGCCAAAGAAGAAGCCAAGGACTTTTTTCTGGTGCTCCATTCTGGGTTCAGGGGCTTAAGTCCTTGGGCCGTCTCTGCTTTCCCAGGCATGTTAGCAGACAGCTGGATCCCAGGGGGAACAGCTTCTGGGAGGGGCCGGCGCTGGGGGATAGCGGGTCAAGCCACTGCCTGCAGTGCCAGCATCCCATATGACGCCGGTTCGAGTCCCAGCTGGTCCACTTCTGATGCAGTTCTCTGCTATGGTCTGGGAAGGCAGTCGAAGATGGCCCAAGTCCTGGGGACCTGTCCCCATGCAGGAGACCCCAGGGAGGCTCCTTGCTCCTAGCTCCTCACCCTGAATCCTCTCAGCGCCAGCCATTGCAGCCAACTGTGGAGTGGACCAGCAGATGGATAACCTCTCCCTCTCTCTCTCTCTGCCATTCTGCCTCTGCCTCTCATCCTCTCTGTGTGTAACTCTGAATTTCAAATAAATAAATAAGACTTTTTTAAAAAGTAAAACCTAGCTCATTGTAAAGAAAATACTACATCAAGGCCAACTACTTGAGTTTATCTAGAATTTGATACTATATGCATTACATACCCCATTAACACAGAATTTGAAAAAGAATTTAACTCAGTCTTAGAAAAGATTCTGGTACCCATTCATTCTCTTCTTCCTTACAAACATTCTGTGTGGCATTATCTCTGACTTGCACATGAGGAAATCTTTGTAATTTATTTATTCAGACTATGTACCCATTCACACAAGGGGTAGAAATACCTGTGATCTGCAGAGTTCTTCACCGAACACAGGTCTGCTTCCCCATCTCTGCCCTCCACATTCTAGCCCTGCCTTTGAAATAGGACAAATCGTGTCTTCCACAAAGCAAAACAGAATACAGAAAGGTATCCTCTGAGGTCACTGTTGACATTTTCTATTCTCCTGTATATAGGAGATCCAAAAGACTCCACTAAAAGAATATCAAAACTCAAGAGTAGAGTTTGGTACAGTGGCAGGATAGAAAATCAACAGCTTTTGTATACACAGACAAGGTCATGATTGAGAAAGGATTTCGAAGACCAATCCCATTCACATATCTACAAAGAAAATAAAATAGGTTGGAATAAATTTAACCAAGGATGTCCAATATCTGAGAACTATAAAAGATTAATGAAGAGGACACCAAAAAAAAAAAAAAACACTCCACAAAGTGAAGCAGCAACTAACAGAATGGTAGAACTTAATCTGCAATGTATGCAGCTGATAAAGGGTTTACTACCAGATATTTTCAAGAAACTCAACAACAGCAAAACAAACCACCCACTCAAGAAATGGGTAAATGGCTTCAATAGGCATATTTCAATCAATCAAAATGCTGATCAACTGAAAAGTGAATTAAGAAGTTATGGTCTATGTATACCATACATACATATACACACTGCATAGCCTGGCTATTGTGCATCTTGCTGCAATAAGCATAGGCTTGTGCATCCCTCTGTTACATAATGATTTAATTTCCTTCAGTATGTTCCCAGTAGTGGGTACATCCTTAGAGTTTTCCATGTTGACAGGCCTAATTTCACATGAGGAATTTTATTGCTATACAGGTATATATTAAGGAATACAGATATCAGATCAGTAAACCAAATTTTACCTTAAAACACTAGAACAGCAAAGTAAATCTTAAGATGACCATTAGTGTGAACCAGGACACAGGACCTATATTAACAAATCACAGCATGAGGCCACAGAGTTAGTATGAAGTGTCCTTAGTGACACAGGACAAGTCCTTGTGGTGATGCACCCAACAAAGGTAAGCCCAAAGAAAAGGACCACCAGTTTTCACCAGCTACCACCTCTCTCATACCCCATGTCTCTAACTGCTAGAACCTAGGGTTCCAACCCCAGGAGGAACATGGCTCTGGGGCAAACAGAGCAGGTTTTGAACTGGGGCTTTATTGTTCTTGATATATGGCCTAGTGCAGGTTCCCACCTCATACAGTTTCATATTTAAAAGGGGATCAGCAGTGCCTTCCTCACAGAGCTTTGAAGAGGATTAGACAGTACAATGTGGTGTAATTAAATAAAACTCTTGCTTTCCCTCTTTGTGTTCTTATTTAGAAATGAAACATGGTACATTAAGAAGCCTGACTATTGAAAGGGCTAAAAGGAAACCTGTTGAAGTGAAACCGACACTATGCAAAACAATGACCCGATCAGCCCTTGCCTGACTGTCAAGGAACAACTTACTATTTTATTATTTTTGTATTTTTTGGTCCTACTTAATATCATTGGTTGAACTCTTTAATTAACACACAATTATTCTTAGGCATTTAAAATTAACTCAAAAATGATCCCTGTTAAATATGAGAGTGGAAATAAGAGAAGGAGGAGATGTACAGTTCGGCACCTGCTCACTCAGACTTACCCCTAATGGTAGAGCTATAAACGTGCTAGGGGATTCCAATTCAATCCCATCAAGGTGTCATGAACCAATGCCATCTCACTAGTCAAAGTGATCAGTTTCAATTCATAATTGATCATAATGATAGGATTAAATGTCAAAGGGATCACATAAATAAGACTAGTGTCTGCTAACAATAACTGATAGACTTACAAAGGAGGCGAATGCTCCAACATGGGAAGCAGAATACACAGCAGACTCATAGAATGACAAATACCCTAAACAGCACTTTGGCCTCAGAATCAGTACTTAAGGCATTCGGATCTGGCTAAAAAGCCCATGAGAGTGATTTAGGCATGGAAAGCCAAGACATTCTGGAAAAAAAAAGAGGAACTAAATAAAAGATCTCTGTGAATGAGATCCCAGCAGAATGAACAGGCCATCAAAGAAGGACGTACCTTTCTCTGAAGGGAGGAGAGAACTTCCACTTTGACTGTGGCCTTGTCTAAATAAGATCGGATCCGGTGAACTCAAGAGGCTTCCATAGCCTTGGCAGCTCAAGACAAGTGCCTCACATGATTAATGACATCATAAATAAGAGTGTCAATTGTTAAATCAACAACGGGAGTTACTGTGCACCTACTCCCCATGTAGGATCTCTCTGTCCTTAATGTGTAGTACTATGTGAATTAACGGTAAAACTACTACTCAAACAATACTCTACACTTTGTGTGTCTGTGTGGGTGCAGTCTGTTGAAATCTTTACTTAGTATATACTGAGTTGATATTCCGTATATAAATATAATTGAAAATGAATCTTGATGAAGAATGGGATGGGAGAGGGACTGGGAGATGGGACGGTTGCGGGTGGGAGGGAGGTTACAGAGGGAAGAACTGCAATAATCCAAAAGTTGTACTTTGGAAATTTATATTTATTTATTTTTTATAGACTTTATTTACTTATTTGAGAGGTAGAGTTACAGACAGTGAGAGAGAGAAACAGAGAGAAAGGTCTTCCTTCCATTGGTTCGCCCCCCCAAATGACCACTACAGCTGGTGCACTGCACCAGTCTGAAGCCAGGTGCCAGGTGCTTCCTCCTGGTCTCCCACGCGGGTGCAGGCGCCCAAGCACCTGGGCCATCCTCCACTGCACTCCTGGGCCCAGCAGAGAGCCAGACTGGAAGAGGAGCAGCCAGGACTAGAACCCGGTGCCCATATGAGATGCTGGCGCCGCAGGCAGAGGATTAGCCAAGTGAGCCACAGCACCAGCCCCCGAAAATTTATAATTATTAAATAAAAGTTGGAAAAAAAGAAAGGGTTTCATGAATGCCACTCTGTTACAATCTCCTTTCTTGTCCATCTTACCTTTGTTCTTGTGACCAGACCCTTCATTAACCATCACTTCCTGTCCCAAGGCCCACCAGTGAGTGTGTTGTTAGTTCTGCATATCTGAACACCAGCTGTGTACCAGGGACTACAGGAATGAAAGCAGAGAGACAAAGTCTTGTCCTGGACAAGCTCACCGTCTTATACAAGATATGGGTATTTAGCAAAAAAATGGTGATAAAATGGGTTAAGTACGTTATGTATACAGGTAGTGTGTTACAGAAGCTCTGGATACGATAGCTCTGCCTGGGGGAATGAGAGAAAAGTATCAAAGAGAAGGAAGTCCCTTGAGTTGGATATCTTGAAACATGGCTAGGAGTTTCTCAAGCTGAAAACATTGAGGAACATCAAGTAGTGACTGCCTATATGCAGAACCATGACAAGTCTGGCATGACAGAAGCAGGGGCTGTTTGGGAGGAGGGCGGCTTGGAATAGGAAGTTGTGAACAGACCTGAGAATGAGGCCTTGGAATCCCCTCTAAGGGATTAGGGCTTTGGCAAGTATGCAAGAGATGAGAAAAGATCAGACAGAGTCACCTGTGATTTCTAGGAAAATGCAGGTGGTATGCAGGCCTAAAGCAGAAAAAGCCTGGAAGAAAGAATGCAGACAGAAGTAATAGTTATCAGCAGATGTTCAGCTTTGGTCTGAGTGCTTGTGTAGGTCCTGAGACACCACTGGTATTGATTTGGTGACTACTAGGAGACAGATGGTTGGAAAGAGGGTGCTGCCAAGCTTTCCAACTTGGAAGGCAAGTCAGATGGAGCCACCACTGCAGAGATCCAGTGCAATGTGTGGAGCAGGTTTAAAGGGAAGAGGAGGCCGGCGCCATGGCTCACTAGGCTAATCCTTCACCTTGTGGGGCCGGCACAACGGGTTCCAGTCCCGGTCGGGGCGCCGGATTCTGTCCCGGTTGCCCCTCTTCCAAGCCAGCTCTCTGCTGTGGCCTGGGAGTGCAGTGGAGGATGGCCCAACTACTTGGGCCCTGCACCCCATGGGAGACCAGGATAAGTACCTGGCTCCTGCAATTGGATCAGCGCGGTGTGCCGGCCGCAGCGCGCCGGCTGCAGCGCGCCAGCTGCGGCGGCCATTGGAGGGTGAACCAACAGCCAAAGGAAGACCTTTCTCTCTGTCTCTCTCTCTCTCACTATTCACTCTGCCTGTCAAAAATAAAAAAAATTGGCCGGCGCCACGGCTCACTAGGCTAATCCTCCGCCTAGAGGCGCTGGCACACCGGGTTCTAGTCCCGGTCGGGGCGCTGGATTCTGTCCCGGTTGCCCCTCTTCCAGGCCAGCTCTCTGCTGTGGCCAGGGAGTGCAGTGGAGGATGGCCCAGGTGCTTGGGCCCTGCACCACATGGGAGACCAGGAAAAGCACCTGGCTCCTGGCTCTTGCCATCGGATCAGCGCGGTGCGCCGGCCGCAGCGCGCCGGCCGCGGCGGCCATTGGAGGGTGAACCAATGGCAAAGGAAGACCTTTCTCTCTGTCTCTCTCTCTCACTGTCCACTCTGCCTGTCAAAAAATAAAATAAAGTAAAAAATAAAAAAATTAAAAAAATTAAAAAATAAAAAATAAAAAAAAAGGGAAGAGGAAGTTTGTGGTACCCACAAGACACTCAAGTGTGTGTCTCTAACAGGCAGGTGGCAATGGAGATTTGGATCTCATGGTGAAGGCTGATGATGGAGACACTACTTTGGAAGGTAGTCTCATAGAAACATTGGTTGAAGCCACAACAGTAAGATCACCTCAAGAGAAATGGGGCGCCCAAAAGGAGCAAAGCATTTCAGATGTGGTCTGAAATGATAGGTAATGCACAAGTAAGAGAGAAGGAAGAGAAGTACAAAGAATCCATCAAGGATAGCACAAAGTAGGCAGCCACACACAAGGAGTCAAGTCACAGGGTTATATTTGTAGAATAAACCAGTGGATGGAGAATCTCCCTCTCTACTATCCCCTCTTCCCTCCTCCCTCCCCTTTTTCCTCTCCCTGCTTCCCTCTCCCCTCCCCTCTGTCCTCTGTCCTCTGTCCTCCATCCTCTCTCCTCTCTCCCTCCTATCCATTCCCAACCAGCTCCCTCCCTTTCAAACAATTTTAAAAATACATTTGTATAGAAAGATTTCTTTGGATGCTGAGTGGAAAACATATTACAGAGGAAAAGATTACTGATAGAAGAAATCAGCTCAGAGGTCACTGAATTCAGTCAAGAGAATTATGGTGGGATGGGCTACGGTTGGGGTTATAACCAGGCATTTGTGGCATCCAGGGTACAGAATTTATGTAGGCACTTGCTCTATGAGCCATGCAAGAACAGAGTTCAGCTTTGCCTTGGCTTAGAGTGGTGGCAGATATAGGCAGGTTGAAGATACATTTTGGTGGTGAAATCAAATTTATTGTGCAGATTCTTGGGTTCCTAAGTAACAGTTTTGAAAAACTATTAATGTTGGACGGCGCCCAGCTCACTTGGCTAATCCTCCACCTATGGCACCGGCAATCTAGTCCTAGTTGGGGCAGCGGATGCTGTCCCACTTGCTCCTCTTCCAGAACAGCTCTCTGCTGTGGCCTGGAAAGGCAGTGGAGGATGGCCCAAGTGCTTGGGCCCTGCACCCACATGGGAGACCAGGAGGAAGTACTTGGCTGCTGGTTTCGCATCAGCGCAGTGCGCCAGCCATAGTAGCCATTTGCGGGGTGAACCAATGTAAAGGAAGACCTTTCTCTCTGTCTCTTTCTCTCACTGTCTAACTCTGCCTGTCAAAAAAAGACTATTAATGCAACATATTATGGAGGATCTTAAATATCAAAGGTCTGATGTTTCACTTCCTCCCATAGCCTATCTAAATTAATACTCAAATGATATAAATCATAAGAAATACTCTCTTGTACTACTCCCAGACCATTTTCAATGTTTTACAAAATGTTCACATAGCAAATATGAAAAGCTTCAACACATTCTTGTTTTCTAATTTCTGCTGCAATAAATACATGAACAACATACCGATTTCTTCTGTACCCATCCTAAAAGTGGAGTCACTGACTTATATACTAATTTATGTTACTCATACATATTTTACTCTTATTTTTAATGAGATCATTGCCAGTACACACATTGTTTGCTTAGCTTTATTTTTACATTAAGCCAATGTCTGCCATGCAGCAATCAAAAAACTGACAGTAAATTATACGGGTTTGTAGTCCAATTTAGACTCTAGCTTCTTAGAATAACCCACCTTTTTTTTGACAGGCAGAGTGGACAGTGAGAGAGAGAGAGACAGAGAAAAAGGTCTTCCTTTTTCCTTAGGTTCACCCCACAATGGCCACTGCGGCCTCGAACACCACGTTGATCCAAAGGCAGGAGCCAGGTGCCTCTCCTGGTCTCCCATGTGGGCGCAGGGCCCAAGGACTCGGGCCATCTTCCAATGCACTCCCGGGCCACAGCAGAGAGCTGGACTGGAAAAGGAGCAACCGGGACAGAATCCAGCGCCCCAAACGGGACTAGAACCCGGGGTGCCGGTGCCGCAGGCGGAGGATTAGCCTAATGAACCATGGTGCCAACCAGAATAACCCACTTTTCTGATGGCTTTCATGAAGTCTTTCTGTACTACAAAATTATGATCAGCACGAATTGCAAACATACCAGCTTCAGTACAAACACTTTAGGTTTGCTCCAATAAAGCCATCTAAAAGGTTCATGCTTGCTTCATAATCTATTTCATAATGTTTTGTAATGGGAGCTGTGTGGATTTTCAATATATCTAACCTCGCTTGTTCATGTGGTAAATCAATATGTATTTTTCTGTCCAATCTTCCCAGACGTAGCAAAACCGGGTCCAGTGTATCTGGTCTGTTTGTAGCCATGGTCATTTTAACTCTATGCAGAGTATCAAACCCATCCATTTGATTTAGCAACTCTATTAAAGTTCTCTTAATCTGTCAGCTGATGTACCCTCAGGAAACCGACGACCACCAATCACATCTATTTCATCCATAAAAATGATGCATGTTTGATGGTCGGTCTCTGGCATAATAAAACATTTCTCTGATCTAACAGGCACTTTCACCAATCTATTTGTCTACAATAGAACTTGATACAACCTTTAAGAAGTTACAATCCAGCTGACTAGCAACAGTTCTCACCAAAAGCATTCTTCCTGTGCCTGGAGTTCCATATAACAAACAGCCTTTTGGAGGTATTACTCCTACATGCTGGGATAATTCTAGGTTTTTAAGAGGTAATTCTATTACCTCTCTTAAATTGGATCTGACAGCCCTCTAATCTCAGAGTAAAAACATTCCCTGGGTTCCAATGAGGCATATTGTAAACCAGTGAATCCATCACTCCTGGCAAATCTCTCATGATACTTAGTGTAGTCATATCCAAAGAAGCTCTTGTTCCTGGATTCAGCTTACTTTTGTCAAGTTGTCTGTGACAGCCGACGATGTATCTTGGGGGTTGAGGAGTGAGAAGAAAGTTCTGGAATCAGATGCCAGTGCTGGCTGCACAACTTTGCACATGTGCTGCTAGTGAATGTTCACCTTAAAATGGTATAAAGGAACTAAGGTATACACCAAAGAGAACTGCTAATGAGTAATGTGAGTTAGCATTCATTCTGATCTAGTTCTCATGAATCCCCTTGCCCCAGCCCAAAGAAATAAGAGGTTGGGCTTAAGTTATGGGGATTACTGCTCCTCCGCAGGAAGCTGGAAAACCCAACGAGCACAGCCAGCCTTGCATGCGTGCACATGGGACTTTGAGACTGTGTCACTCTGTGGCTGCCTGGCTACAGTGCTGTGTGTGCATTTGTTCCTCTGTGCATGTGGTTTTTTGAAAACTGACAGTTAACATGCTGTCATGTTTCAAATAGATTTTGATGGACATACATAAAAAACTGTCATGGGGCTGGTATTGTGTCCCAACAGGTTAAGCCTCTGCCTGAGGCATCCCATTTGGGTGCTGGTTTGAGACCCACTGGCTAATTCACTTTCAAATTCAGATCTCTGCTAATGCACCTGGGAAAGCAGCAGAGGATGGCCCCAGTGCTTGGGCCCCAGCATCCACATGGGAGACCCAGAGGAAGCTCCTGGCTTTATCATGGCCCAATCCCGGCGATTGGGGTCATTTGGGGAGTGAACCAGCAGTTGGATGATCTCTGTGTGTCTCTCCTCCTCTCTCTGTTAACTCTGCCGTTCAAAGAAATAAGAAAACTTTTAAAAAAAGGACAGTCATATCTTTTAATATTTTCACCTTTCTTCATTCATTGAAGACACAAACAGACCTGTTCTATCAAACAGCTTATAAAACAGACCCTTAAACTGCATCTGATTTCAATGAGAGAGTCTGTATGCATTTTGTCAGACTTAGAAATAAGGTAAGCATCATTTGAAACTAAAGCAAAGCTCCAAACTTTTGAGTTCTAAAGATAACAAATGAATAAATAAGAACAGTTTGCTAAAATGATCAATTTCATTAGTTGTTGAGATGGTTGGATGCCAGATGGTTGGATGCCAATGTCCTCAGATGACACGAGGTCCAAACATCTCAAAACACCAGAGCCAAGAGAACCTCATCTCACGTACACAACCCTCACTGGGAGGGTCTGCATGCTGGACTTTTTAGAAAGGCTAGTTTGTTTAAAAATGCTTGGTGTGAACAGAGCCAAGCCTGTATGCTTCTAACTGTATCACTCCTTGTTACCAAAGAGGGAAACGTCATTAACCAGGCACACAGAACCACCCCAATTAGTTCCAAGGTCTCAGAGGAAGAAGGGTTCACAACCACTGATACACAGTATTCACTGGATAAACGCCAACAAGCCTCCTTCAGCAAGACAAAATGTTCATGTGCTCATGAAATACCATGCATGGAACCGCCCAACTGGTAAAGAAGGGATTGCCTGTGACATTCACCAAAGTGGAACCCAGAGAGGTAGACATGCTCTTCATTTCCAAAGTGAATTCCAAGATGACCATGTCATGGGGAGGTACGGGGGAGGCGATTCACAAAGAGGAGTAACAAACCGGAGGAAACAGTGAGCAAAAATTAGTGAAAAATTGACCTACAAATGCTTTTCAGGGACTTTTAATGATTACCTTAGTAAGACCAAACTGTTTCCTAGATTCACAGCCACTCCTCTAATTACATGCTTGAGAAAATTCTAAGCCATTCGGGGTAGCTGTAACTCAGGGACAGAAAGCAATAAAGTAACACAGCGATGAACAAAGCACTTCTGCCTGAAGGTGCTGTGGGGGTTGGCCGGGGACTCCTCACTAACCCAGCACAGCCGCCAGCCTGAGGCTAGTTAACAATCACTATGTTCTCCTATCTTTAGATGCCTGTGCATAGTTCCCACTGATCCCTCAGGGGCATGCCATCATACCACGCGTGGAACTGGGAAGCTGAGAAATGCCACTTCCCTGGGGTCTGCAAAGAACCCACTTTACTAATCACTGCAACCGCCACAAGATCAAGTGTGGCAGAGGCACCTGTGCTAGCAAGCACAGCCCAGGCCCCCACTGCACCTGCCTGTGGGGCAGGGACTCACAGGGCCCTCAGCCTCATCTTAGCTACTTTTTTGCTCAGAGAAGGAAGGCGGGAACTGGCAAGACCCACCACACTCCTGCCCTCAGAATCTCAACTCCAGACAGCCCAAGCTGAAATCCAGGCAACCCTGAAAGGTCAAGGCTTTTGGCCCTGCAGAGACACTCCCAGCAGGCAAGTTGCACTGCACCTCCAGGACCCTCCTCACACACTCACCTCTCACATTAGCCCACACCCTGCAGCCCAGGAGGGGCAAGCACAGCAGGATTTAAACTGGAACTTCACTGATATCTATATATGGCCTAGGGCTGGTTCCCACTTCCTTTAACTCATATTTAAAAGGGTATCAGTGGTACCTTCCTCACAGAGTTTTGAAGAGGATTAGACAGGACAATGTTGTATAATTAAATAAAACTCTTGCTTCCCCTCCTTGTGTTGTTATTTAGAAATGAGACAATGGTACATTAAGAAGCCTGACCACTGAAAGTGCTTCATTAATGCTGATTCTCTTAAACATCCCTTCTTGGCCCTCCTACCTTTATTGCTGTAAACAGACCTTTCTATAACCAACAGTTCCTGTCCCAAGATCCAACAGTGAGTGCATTGTTAGTTCTGCATAAGCTGAATTCCAACTGTGTACCAGGGACTATAGGAATGAAAGCAGAGAGACAAAGTCCTGCCCTGGACAAGCTCACAGTCTTATACATGATATCGGTATTTAGCAAATAAATGGTGATAAAAGGGGTAAGCACTTTACATATACAGGTAGTGTGTTACACAAACTCAAGTTGCCCGAGGACGTCGGTTCCTGAACCCACACTGGAGTACTAGATAAAGTACATGGCTTTAGCTTCGGCATGGCCCACCACCAGCCATTGTAGCCACCTGCAGTGTGAACCCATACCCTGAAGATCTCTCCCCCCCTGCCTCATCTAGAACTCTGCTTTGCAAACCATTCTTTAAATAGAATAAAATATCTAGTACTTACTGTGAGGTGTCAGAATCTTGGGGCAGGCTGGAACAGGGCACTGAGGGATTCTTGGCATTTCTCTAAGCTTCTGCTTTCTCCTCTGTGTGTGCAGTCTGTGAAAATTCACCGGATTATGTGCCAATTAATTCGAGCGCCCCGTGTCCCCGTGTTCCTACACACATCCCTTATGCTGCCGAACAACCCGGAGCAGAGAGGCTGTCAGTCAAGGCCTCTTCGACAGACACAGCTAGCCAAGGCTACTTCTGGCCAGGCACAGAAAACCCCCCAAATGGACCCAGAGCCCTGGGGAAAGTTCTTCCCCTCCCAATCCCCCTCCCACACACAAGCCCTGGGACTCCTGTCACTCTCCCCCTCCTTTCCTCTCCCCCACATGTGTTTCTCCCCTCCCTCCCTCGCCTCTCCACTTTCATTCTCCCCACTTCCTCTCTCCTCCTGCTTCCCCTTTGACCCTCTCCTCTCCTCCACCTTCTATCCCAGCTACACCCTACACACACCCCTCCCCGTGCTCTGCACCCCAGGCCACGACTACCCCATCACAGGAAGGCCACCGCGCCAAACTCCCCACACAAAGAGCGTTTCTGTTCCTCAGGAACAGGAACTGAGTCCCGAAGTGTAGTCTTCAGGTAGGGGTTGAAGCAGAGGACCGCGTCTGGAAGTTTCCAGAAGCCCAAGGAAACTGATGCGGCCGCCTCAGGCCGTAGCCTCACCTGATCCCGGCCTGAGCCTGGGGGGGCCCTGGGTCTCCTCAGGTTCAGCCACCAGCGTTGAAGGCGGCTCCTCAAGGCTCTGGGAAGGAGCAGACATGGCTCTGACTCCCACCAGTGCATCGAGGGCAGAAGTGGCGGCACCTGCGGGTGCACTTCTGGGTCAAAGCGCCAGGCACAGGCACACTCCTCACTGGCAACAGGACACACATTGGCATGGAGCTGGATGAGAGATGGAGTAGACAGGACTTGAACTGACTCCCCTGTGGGATACCACAGCACCGGCACACCTGTTCTTACTTCTGAAACTTATTAGCCTTATTACTGTAATATAAATTTAAAATATATTATCTGAAACTGGAAGGAAGGAAAAAGAAGGAAATGAGGCAAGAAAGGAGGGAGGGATGGAAGGGGACTCTGGGAGAGACAGTGTTAGAAGGAAAGCAGAGAAAAGGGAATGTGGTTTATTTTTAAATTAGTTTATAAATTATATTGAAGAATTTTTTGACCCTAAACATATACACGCATCCAATGGACACAATATCGATGTTTAATGGAAACTTATAGAAAAAAAAAAAGTACTCACACTACAGAGAAAACGAAAGACACAACCTGCACATTAGTAACATTGTGTATGTGGAAAATTCTAGGACTTTATGAAAATATAAGTATGAAAATGTTTCTATAGAAATAATCTAAAAGTAAGAGTAAGATACAGAGGCCGGCGCAGCAGGTTAAAGTCATGGCTAACGCACTGGCATTCCATATGTGCACTGCTTCTAGTCCCAGCTGCTCCTCTTCCAATCCAGCTCTCTGCTATGGCCTGGGAAAGCAGTAGAAGATGGCCCAACTCCTTGGGCCCCTGCATGCATGTGGGAGATCTGGAAGAAGCTCCTGGCTCCTGGCTTCAGATTGGCCCAGCTCCGGCCGTTGCAGCCATCTGTGGAGTGAACCAGCAGATGCAAGACCTCTCTCTGTCTCTACCTCTCTCTGTAATTCTGTCTTTCAAATAAATAAAATAAATCATTAAAAAAGAGTAAGCTATATAATTCTGAACATATATTACTCAAAAATACCAAATAACACTGCATTGTAAAGAATGACACATCATTTAAGTAACACTTAAGGAAGAATGCGCCTTCCTAATAAATGTCACAGTCTGACACAGAGACACAGTTTAGGGACTCTAAAAGCAACTGGAAATATCTGAGTTGGCAAAAAAAAGCAGTTGTAGAATAGGAAGTATCATGAAGTTTGAATTCCAACAAATTGGGAAGCTATTCCAAGAGCTCATACCGTACTCTTTCTGTTTAAATCCTTTAGGACTCAAGCCATCCCTAGCACCCCAAAATAATAAGAACAAAAACATCATGAAAGCAGCAGCTTTCAAGCAGAGCTGCCTAGAAGGATATGAAAAACACCCATCACGACAATCACCCTCTTTCCACAAACTTTCTCAAGGATGTTCAAGAAGCATTCAGTATTAGATAAATAACAAGAACGAATGTGAGCGAATAACAGACACATTCAAAAGCCAAGAAGCACACGTTTATCAAGAGAGAGTCCTCTTCCGAATTCTGACGTCTACAAGTAGACTACAAGCCACAAAAATCATTCCCAGCCTAAGAAAGGGTCTCCATGTTTCCAAGCCCCTTATCAACCCAGTTTTCTTTTTTTTTTTTTAATTTTTGACAGGCAGAGTGGACAGTGAGAGAGAGAGACAGAGAGAAAGGTCTTCCTTTTGCCGTTGGTTCACCCTCCAATGGCTGCCGCGGCCGGTGCGCTGCGGCCGGTGCACCGTGCTGATCTGATGGCAGGAGCCAGGAGCCAGGTGCTTTTCCTGGTCTCCCATGGGGTGCAGGGCCCAAGCACCTGGGCCATCCTCCACTGAACTCCCTGGCCACAGCAGAGGGCTGGCCTGGAAGAGGGGCAACTGGGACAGAATCCGGCGCCCCGACCGGGACTAGAACCCGGTGTGCCAGCGCCGCTAGGCGGAGGATTAGCCTAGTGAGCCGCGGCGCCGGCCTCAACCCAGTTTTCTTTCAGATAACATCTTCTCCATCTCGCAGTGTTCTGCAGATGCTATCTGAATTCCCTGATTAACTCAGCATCCATTCCCCATCCCTTCTGAACTTCCCTCTACCAGTCCACCCATTTCCCTTCCCTCACTTTTCCTAAGGTTGCTCCCCAGACCCTCTCCCGGGTCTAACACTCTGATACTCCACTAGTTCTTATAAGTTGACCTAACCCTCCTTCATGTTACAATTCTGCTGAAAGTCACCTGACTTCCTCTATATAATCCTTCCATTTCCCCTATCTATCAAAAGATGATGACATAAAGAAATTACCTCATTTCAGCCCCCAACTCCCAAGTGCCTTGCATGTCCCAAGTTCTTCTGTGGCATTTACCCTTATCAGCCCCCCCCAGCAGAGATTCCTTGCAATCTTGTCATCCTTAACCATGAATTCTAAAACCCAAACTTTTATTTCCATATCCCTCAAAAACAGACTTTTGGTGTTTTGTACTCTGAGGCAACAGCACACACTTCTCCTCCCAGGTCTCCCTCTCATTGCCTGGATGCCCCAATATTCCTCCTCTTACCACATTCTTTGACACCTGATTCACTGCAAAACTAGGGGGAACTCATTCCCCAACATCCAAGTGCCCTCATCTTCATTGCACCTAACTCTCCTCTACCCCGCTGGCCCCCACATTTCTTTTACCTCAACCTCTGGGGCTACTCCATTTGATCCTCCCTGTCACGGGATGAAAGTCAACTTCACTGTCCACATGACCCGCCCAGCCGCAGGGAAAGTGGTGTCCCTTCCCTACTCTTTCCCTTGGGCCCCAAGGCTGATGCAAACATGAGGTGGTCATGTCTGCTCACCAGTTGCTCCTCTCCAGGAAGAAGCCCCAAGTGTGTTTAGCAGGAAATCGAGCAGTCTCTAGAAATGGAAGATGACTCGGCAAGCTGAACTTCAGCGTCAACTCTGCGTCCAGTTTCATATCCATGAAGATGTCTACAATGAAAATTAATAAACATTAAAGAAATGGAAGAAGATACTAAAAAGTGGAAAAATCTTCCAAGTTCATTCATTGGTATAATTTACGTAATGAAAATTTCAATTCTACCATAAGCAATTTAGAGACACAATGGGATCCCAAAGAAAGGTCAAATGACATTTTGTCCAGATGGAGAGAAGACAATGCTAAAATTCATATGGAAACACAGAACATCCGAAGAGTGAACGCAATCTTATACAACATAAACAAAACTTGAATCATCACAATAACAGATTGCAAGACACAGAACAGGGCAGTTACAATCAAAACAACTGGTATAGTTAAAAAATTGACATATAGAACAATGGAACAAAGAAGAAACTCCAGAAATCATTGCACACATCTACAGTCAATTTATCTTGGAAGAACGAGCTAAAGGTTAATTCCAATTGCAAAGGACAGTTTCTTCAAAAAATGGTCCTCAGAAAACTGGACCTCTATATGCAGAACCATGAAAGAAGTTCCATACTATACACCTTATTAAAAAAGAAACTAAAAATAGTTCAGGGAACAAAATCTAAACCCAATCTCATCAAATTACTAGAGAATATTGGGGAAAACTGAAAGACACTGGCATAGGCAAAGATTTCTGGGAAAAGACAGCAGAAGCACAAGCAATAAAAGCAGAAACAGAAACAGACAAATGTGATTCCCTCAAGATGAAAAGCTTCTGTGCTGCAAAAGAAACACTCAGCAATGTGAAGAGGCAACTGAAAGAATGGGTGAAAATGGTCTGCACACTATGAAACTGATCAAAGATTAATATCCACAAACTACAAAGAGCTCAACAACAAACCAAAAAATCCAGTTAAGAATGGGCAAAGGACATGAACAGGCATGTTTCAAGAAAGGAAATCCATATTCTCCAGGGTGACTGTTTTATAATTCTTTATGTTCTACTCTGGCATGGATGCTTTCCCTGATGAGTTTTATTCAACAAACAAGCATGAAAAGCAACTAGTACTGGGTGACTGTAATTTCACATAAAAGACTCCAACATAACACATTAAATGGAACATATTAACTATAAAAAAAGAAAGGAAATCCATATGGCCAACAGACACATGAAAAAATGCTGAGGATCACTAGCCATCAAGGAAATGCAAAACAAAATGGCAATGAGGTTTCACCAGACCACAGTCAGAATGGCTCTCATACAGAAATCAAAAAATGATAACTGCTGCTGAAGATTTGGGGAATATTTTTTTTGACAGGCAGAGTGGACAGTGAGAGAGAGAGACAGAGAGAAAGGTCTTCCTTTGCCGTTGGTTCACCCTCCAATGGCTGCCGCGGCCGCACGTGCTGCGGCCAGCACACTGCGCTGATCCGATGGCAGGAGCCAGGTACTTTTCCTGGTCTCCCATGGGGTGCAGGGCCCAAGCACTTGGGCCATCCTCCACTGCACTCCCTGGCCATAGCAGAGAGCTGGCCTGGAAGAGGGGCAACCAGGGAAGAATCCGGCGCCCCGACCGGGACTAGAACCCGGTGTGCCAGCGCCACAGGTGGAGGATTAGCCTAGCGAGCCACAGTGCCGGCCTGGGGAATATGTTACCCTGATCCACTCACTGTTTGGTGGGAATGTAGACTGGTAAAGCCATTGCAGAAGACAGTATGGGAATACCTCAGAAAGCTGAAAATGTATCTACCATACGACTCAGCAATCCCTCCCCTTGGGATTTACCCCTAGGAAATGAACTCAGCAGATTTGAAAGGGTTATCAGTACCTCCACCTTTAGTGCAGCTCAGTTCACAACAGTTAAGATATGGAATCAAACCTGGTGTCCATGAACTGATGACTGGATAAGGAAATTATGGCATATATACACTATGGAATATCACCATTGGGGAACACAGAAATGCTGTCTTTAGCAACAAAATGGATGTAACTGGAAACCAGTATATTCAGTGAAATAAGCCAGTCCCAAAAGGACAAATAACGTATTTTTTCCCTAATTTGCGGTAACTAATAGAGTACCTAAATGTAATGTGTAGGAGACAAAATGACATTCTGCGATAAGATGGTTTCCTATAGTTCTTATCTCACTTTTAAAGAACAGTGCTTTTTTCTTCATACTCCGGTTGAATACAGTTACCATATCATATGTATATGCAGTTAACTGAAAATAGATAATTAGAAGAATTAAGAGTAGAAACAAGAGAAGGAGGAAGAAGAAGGCTAGGAGTGTAGGTTTGAGAGATGGTAGCGTGAAAGAAGTACCAGTATGTATGTTCTGAATCTGTATATAAGAAATACATGAAATTTACATACCTAATATAAAATTTTTAAAAGTACATAATCCTGCCGGTGCCGCAGCTCACTATGCTAATCCTCTGCCTTGTGGCGCTGGCACACCGGGTTCTAGTCCCAGTCGGGGTGCCGCATTCTGTCCAGGTTACCATTCTTCCAGGTCAGCTCTCTGCTGTGGCCTGGGAGTGAAGTGGAGGATGGCCCAAGTGCTTGGGCCCTGTACCCCATGGGAGACCAGGAGAAGTACCTGGCTCCTGCCATCGGATCAGGGCGGTGTGCCGGCTGCAGCGCGCGCGGCCGCAGTAGCCATTGGAGGGTGAACCAACGGCAAAGGAAGACCTTTCCCTCTGTTTCTCTCTCTCACTGTCCACTCTGCCTGTCAAAAAATTTTTTAAAAAAGTACATAATCTCCTAGCCAGACTAACAAAAACGATAAAAACTCCAGTAAATAAAATTACAGACAAAAAAGCAGACATCACAACCAACATCACTGAAACACAAGGTTTCAAAGAAATAGCTTTTCAGTACCATATGCTAACAAACTGGAAAACCAGGAAGACAGGCAGAAATTCCTGGATAACAAGTACACGTAACCTACTAAGATTAATTCCAGAAGATAGAGACATCCTAAAAACAATCATAGAAATCAATGAAAACTAAAACACCCACCAAAAACACTGCTAGAACTGACGAAATAAATAAGTCACAGGTTACAAATAAACATACCTTGTAACCCGCAGTCTTGTCCTCCAGCGCAAGCCCAGCCACCCGCTTCTCCACTTCCCACAGCTAAGCCACCGCCCGCCCCCATGACCGCCCAGCCTGAGGACCTGAGTGTCTACACTGCTCCGAGGAGCCACGAACACACCCCGCCCTCGAGGTCCCAGGCCTCTCATTGTTTCATAAGAAAAACTCACCTTCACTCCTGCACTCTCCGGGCCTGTACCTCTGCCGAAAACGCCGCCATCAGCCGACAACTCCTGCAGCCGACAACATGCCGCCACCGCCGGATACATCTTCTTGCTCTCCACCAGGCCGACTGCGCAAGCGCCAGCCATCTAAGACCCTCCTCTCCCTCCCAGCAAGCACAGCAGCACCAGAAGCGTACAGGCAGCGTAAAAACGTGGGTGACAGCTGTCTTGTCTCCAGGCTAGAATAGCGGGCCTGTGTTGATCTCAAGTGTGCTCTAGGTAGGTAACCTATTCTGATACAAAAAAAAAAAAAACAAAAAAGGCCTGTTGTTTGCAAAAAAAAAAAAAAATGGATGCAACTGTAAAACCTTACACTTTGTAAAATAAGCCTTTCCAAAAAAGACAAATACTGTATATTCTCCCTGATCTGTGGTAACAGAGTACCTAAAAAGGTGATCTATAGAAGTTATATTGACACTTTGACATATATTGATTTTAAGCAACTCGTCTTGCGGATATAATAATTTTAAACAAACCATGTCTTGCCTGTTTAGGAACGGATTTTTTTTTTTTCAATTCTTTTGACTGTTTGTTGAATTCTTTACTTAGTGTAGGGTTTATATTATGAGTATAAAATAATTGAAAATAGATTTCTCTATAAAATAAGAATGGGAATAGTGGATGGGGGATGAAGAGGGATAGGAGCTGAGGCTGGTGCTGTGGCGCAGCAGGTTAACGCCCTGGCCTGGAGCACCGGCATCCCATATGGGGGCCAGTTTGAGAACCAGATTCTCCGGTTGCGATCCAGCTCTCTGCTATGGCCTGGGAATGCAGTGGAGGATGGCCCAGGTCCTTGGGCCCCTGCACCCATGTGGGAGACAAAGAGGAAGCTCCTGGCTCCTGGCTTCAGATCAGCACAGCTCTGGCCATTGTGGCCAACTGGGGAGTGAACCATCGGATGGGAGACCTCTCTCTCTGTCTCTGTCTCTCTCTGCCCCCCCACCTCTCCTCTCTCTGTGTAACTCTGACTTTCAAATAAATAACTCTACAAAAAAATGAAGAGGGATGGGAGCATGTTTGGGTGGGTGGGTAGGAGGCAGGGAGGTTAGAGTGGGAATATTCAGTGCTTTTAAATTTGTATATATGAAATACATCAAGTTTGAATACTTTAAATCAAAAGTTTCTAGGTAAAAAGAGAGGTAAAATTTTTAATAATTCATGATGAGTGAGATAGCAAGAGACAATTCTCATCTACTGAGTCACTCCCCAAATGCCCTCAAGATGGGACTAAAGCTGAGAAGTGGGATCTTCATCCACGTCTCCCACATGGTTTGACAGGAACTAAGGCCTTGAGCCACCCTCCAGGATATACAATAAGGTAGGCCATAAGTCTCAGCTAATTCAAAAAATATGTAAATCATACCATGCATCTTCCACGACCACATGGAATGAAGGGGCGAATGACCACACCAAGAACATCAAGAACATATACAACCACATGGAGACTGAACATGCTCCTGAATGAACTGTGAGTTATAGAAAAAATTTTAAAAAGATGGAAACGATTAAAGATGACAGTAAAACATATCAAAACTTATGACATACGGAAAAAGAGTATTAAATGGAAAGTTTAGAGAAATTGGTGCCTATATCAAGAAATTGGAAAAGCATCAAATAAGTGAGCCACCAATGTAGTGCCCTTGAAAAACAAATGATATCCATTGCAAAATTATCAAGAGGAAAGAGATAATTAAAATTAGAGGAGAAATAAACAAAATTGAAAGCAAAAAAGAATATGAAAATCAGTGAAATGAAGAACTTGCTTAAAAAATTTATACACTCTTGGCCCAAATATCTTTAAAAAAAAAGAAGACCCCAATCAGTAAAGTCAGAGATGAAAAATGAAAGGGAACAACAGATACTACAGATGATTGAAAGATTTACCCATCAGGAGCTAATACAAAGGACTGTATGCCAACCAATTAAAAAGTCTGTCTCTCCTACTCCGTCTATAATTCTGCCTCACAAATAAATAAATAAAACTTTCAAATAAACCATAGGCTTATTTCAATAGATGCAGAAAAAGCATTTGATGAAATACAACATCCTTTCATAATGAAAACTATACTGAGTATAGTAAGAACATTGCTCAACATAATCAAGGCAATTTATGACAAACCTATAGACAGCATTTTATGAATGGGGAAATGTTGGAAGCATTCCCGTGAAGAGCTGGAATCAGACAAGGATGACAACTTGTGCCCTTGCTATTCAATATAGACCTGGAAGTTTTAGCCAGACCTATTAGGCAAGAAAAAGAAATCAAAGGATACAAACTGGGAAGGAGGGAGTCAAATTACCCTTACTTGCAGATGACAGGATTCTATACATAGGGGAAATAAAAGTCTCTACGGAGAGACTACTAGAATTCATAAAAAGAGTTTGCTGAAGTGGCAAGATATAAAAGTAACACAAAAATCAATAGTCTATATATAAAAAGCCATGGCTGGGAAAGAACTTCTAAGAGCAATCCCATTCACAATTGCTATAAAAAATTAAATACCATGGAATCAATTTAAACAAGGATGCCAAAGATATCTAATATGAAAATTAGCAAACATTAGTGAAAGGAACAAAAGCCACAGAAAATGGAAAAATCTTTAATGTTCAAGGACTAAAATAATCAATATTGTCAAAATGTCCATAGTACCAAAAGCAATTTACAGATTAACGTGATCCCAATTAAAATGCCAATTACATTCTTTACAGATCTAGGGGAAAAAGATGCTAAAATTCAAATGGAAACACAAGAGACCCAGAATAGCTGATGGAAACTTCAAAGCCAGAAGCATCACAATACCAGAATTCAAGACATACTTCAGGACAGTTACAATCAAAACAGCCTGATACTGGCAAAAACTACACATGTGGACCAATGGAACACAATAGAAACTCCAAAACTCAATCCACACATCTACAAATAATAAAAATCCAACCATGTGACAAAGTCAGTCTCTTCAAAAAATGATGCATAAAAGGTGGATCTCCCATGCAGAAGTATGAAAATAAAAACTTACCTTATTCTGATACAAAAATCTACTCAAAAAGGATCAAGGACCCAAATGTACAACCCAATACCATCAAATTCTTAGAGAACATTGTGGAAATGATGCAAGACATTGCCATGTGCAGACTTCTTGGAACCCAGAAGCACAGACAACAAAAGCAAAAACACACAAATGGGATTACATGAAGCTGAGAAGCTTTTGCACTGTAAACAAAAACTCAGCAAAGTGAGAGAAAATATTTGCAAACTATGTAACTGATAAAGTGTTAATTTCCAGCATGTATAAAGTGCTCAAGAAACTCAACAACAACAAAACAAACTATGCAGCTAAGAATGGGCAACAGACTTGAACAGAAATTCTTCAAGAAAGGAAATTCAAATGGACAACAGACACATGAAAAATGCTCAGGATCACTAGCCATTAGGGAAATGCAAAACAAAACCACAATGAAGTTTCACCTCACCACAGTCAGAATGGTTCACATACAGAAAATCAACAAACAAAAAATGCCGGAAAGGATGTGGCAAAACAGTACCCTAGGGACAGACCTGTGCTGTGGTGCACGTGGTGAATCCTCCTCCTACGGTGCTGGCATCCCATATGGGCACCGAGTCTAATCCCAGTTGCTCCTTTTCCAGTCCAGCTCTCTGCTGTGGCCTGGAAAAGCAATGAAGGATGGCCCAAGTGCTTGGGCCTCTGCACCCATATGGGAGTCCAGGAAGAGGCACCTGGCTCCTGGCTTTGGATCAGTGCAGCTCTGGCCGTTGCAGCCATTTGGAGGGTGAACCATTGGATGGAACACTTTTCTCTCTGTCTCTCACTCTCACTGTCTGTAACTCTTCCTCTCAATTATTAATATAATTATAATATTAATATTATTAATATTAATAACACATAATAATAATATAATAATAATACAGTACCCTAATCCATTGGGAATGTAATCTGGTGAAGCCATTGTGGAAGACAGTATGGAGACACCTCAAAAGGCTGAAAATAGATGAATCATATGAACCAGCAATGCCACTCATGGGAATTTACCTAAACAAATTGAAATCAGCAGATGAAAGAGTTATCTGTACCCACATGTTTATGGCTGCTCAATTCACAACAGCTAAGATATGGAATCAACCCAGATGTCTATCAAATGACGATTAGATAAAGAAATTATGGAGGCCAGCACAAAGTGGGTTAAGCCTCCTACTTGATGCACCAGCATCCCATAGTTGTGCCTGTTCGAAGCCTGGATGCTCCCTGATGAAGGCCTAGGAAAACAGTAGAAGATGGCCCAAATCCTTGGGCCCTTGCACCTGTGTGGAAAACCCAGAAGAAGCTGCTGACTCCTGGCTTCACATCAGCCCAGTTCTACCCATTGCATCCATTTAGAGAGTGAACCAGAAGGAAGACCTCTCATTCTCAGATGGAAGACCTCTCGTTCTCTATCTCTCCCTCTCTCAACTCTGCCTCTCAGAAAAATAAATCTTGAAAAAAAGTAACTGTGGTATATATACACTATGGAATGCTATTCAGCAGGAAAAAATGCAATGAAGTCTTTTGCAACAAAATGGATTTAACTAGAAAACATTATACTTAGTGAAATAAGCTAGTCCCCAAAAGACAAATCCCACATGTTGTCCCTGATCTGCGGTGACTAAGAGAGTATTTAACAGGTAATAATGTGTAGGAATAAAATGAGTATTTTGAGATATGATGCTTTTTTTACAAGCCTTGTCTCACTTTGAGGAACAATTTATTTTCTTCATACTATTTGTTGAACTTTTTACTTAGTGAATAGTGACTATTATGAGTATAAAGTTACCTGAAAATATTTTTCTATTAGAATTAACAGTGGAAACAGGAGAGGGAAGAGGAAGAAGTATGGAAGCATGGGCTAGAGGAAGCGTTGGGTGTGAAGAATCAATACGTTCCTGAATATGTATATGGCAAGTACATGAAATTTGTTTACCTCACATAAAATTTTTAAAAACTAAATCAGTCTCTAACAAGAATGACAAAGAAAAAAAGAGAAAAAAACCTCAAAACCTCAAATAAATAAGATTAGATGAAAAAGCAGACAGTATAATCAACACTACTGAAATACAAGGCTTCAAAAGAAACTGCCATTCAATACTATATGCTAATAAACTGGAAAACTGAGGAAAATGGAGAAGTTTTTCAATACAAGTAACTTACCAAATTTAATCCAGAAGATAAAGACAATCTAACAGACTCACAAAAAGTAATGGCATTGTAGCAGTAAGCAAAATTCTTCCATCAATAAAAAACCCATGACTTGATGGCTTTACTACCCAATTCTACAAAACATTTAAAGATAAACTCCAACAATCTTCAGACTATTTGGAAACACTGAACAGGATGGAACACTGTCAAACACTTTTTAGGAGGCCAACATCCCTTTGATGCCAAAAACAAACCAAGACACAAAATGGAAAGAATACTACAGGCGTATATTCTTGAAGAACATAGATAAAAAGATTCTCAACAGAGTACTAAATAAACAATTGAAAACATCAAAAAACTCATACATAACTATCAATCGGAATTGATCCCAGAAATGCCATGGTGGTCCCATATTTTCAAAACAATAAATATCATAAATTAATCAACATAATAAAAGAATAAAAACCATACTCTCATTAGATGCAGAGAAAGCATTTGATATGATTCATTACCCTTTCATGGCATAAAAAAAAAACCTCCACAAATTAGGCATAGAAGGAACATGCCTCAAAAACATAAATGTGATACTTGACAAAGAATCAGCCAATATTATAGTGAATGAGGAGAAGATGAACGCATTTTGTCAAAATCTGTAACAACACAAGGACATCCACTCTCACCACTCTAACTGAATACAGTACTATACATTTTCACATTTTTTAAAGATTTACTTCATTTTCTTGGAAGGCACAGTTACATACAGAGAGAAGGAGAGAGAGAAGGAAAGAGATCTTCCGTCTGCTCACTTCACTCCACAAATGGCCACAACAGCCAGGGTTCATCCACGATGAAACCAGGAGCCAAGAGCTTCTTCTGGGTCACCCACAAGGGTGCAGAGGCCCAAGCACTTGGGCCATCCTCTGCTACTATCCTAGATGCATTAGCAGGGAGCTGTATCAGAGGTAGAACAGCCAGGATTTGAACCAGAGCTTGTATGTGATACCACAGTGCCAGCCCCATGTTTTATTCTTAAACTTCTTACTTGATGAAGCATTTACCAAAGTCATGTCATCAATGTTTTTCATAAGGTTTATGTATTCATTTGCCAACAGAGTGAAAGAGGCACAAAGAGAGATCTTCTACCTGCTGACTTACTCCTCAAATGCCCCCAAAAGCCAGGACTGGGCCAGGCAGAAGCCAGGAGCCAGGAACTACATCTCTGTCTACAATGTCGTGGCAGGAATGTTGGGCCATTATTTGTTGCCTCCCAGGTAAATTACCAGGAAACTGAATTGGACATGGAGGACCTGGGACTCATACCAGGCAGGTTGATGCAGGATGCTGACATCCCAAATGTCAGATTAACCTGCTGTGCCTCATGCCCACCCATTTCTAAACTTTTCTGATTATTTACTCCATTTAGTCGAGTTGGGATGCTGTAAGAAAACGCATTACACTGGGAAGTTTATAAGCAACAGGGAGTGAACCAGCAGATGGAAGTCTTTTCTCTCTGTTCCTTCTTCTCTCTGTCTGTAACTCTGCTTCTCAAATAAGTGAATAAAACCTTTTTTTAAAAAATAAGGGCAGTGATAGCATTCTCAGAAGATCTGCCCTCATGATCCAGTCACCTCCCAGCACACCTGCTCCTAAATAACAACACATTGAGTATTACGTTTCACCACATGCATATTGAGGGACACATCATTTAGCAATAGCTACCCCAAATCATTTCTTATGAACCCCCAATGAGTATTTAATTATAAAAACTCATTATAAAGCTTGTAAAATATGCCTTAAAATACTACAGATGATATGATTTTGTAAAGATAACTTATATTACTAATGTATTTTTACCTGGCAACCCCAAAAAGAATCTGAAACTACATAGATACTAATGGGAGAATTCTAAGATTGGCCATATGCACTGTGCAATAAGACCACTGTTTCAGTCCTGTTCACTGGTCATGTGAATGATTTTGGTGAAAATTTACCAGTGGTTGCAGGGTTGATATTTTTTCAGTTCACAAATTATTGTCAAGAATCAGTTTAGGGGCCAGCGCTGTGGCATAGTGGATGAAGCCACCACCTGCAGTGCTGGCATCCCAAATGGGGCACAGGTTCGAGTCCCGGCTGCTCCACTTTCAATCCAGCTCTCTGCTATGGACTGGGAAAGCAGAAGATGGTCCAAGTCCTTGGGCCCCTGCACCAACAAAATGTGGAAGAGCTCTCTCTCTCCACACCCCCACCTCTGCATCTGCCTCTGTCTCTCTGTAACTCTGCCTTTCAAATAAATAAATAAATCTTTTAAAAAGGAATCAGTTTAAACCAAGGGTACATTTTTCAAGGTCTTTAATATAGAAATTGGATATCATCAATGAAGCATATCATAGTATGCTTTATATAGAAATTTGTAAAAAGAGATAAAATTGACATTGTATTCTGATAAAACTTTTGATTCCAAAAGAAGACATAGCAATCATAAATATTTATGCACTGAATACAAGACCACCGGTTATATATAGAAAATACTATTAGACCTAAAGAAAGAGACACACTCCTAGACAATAAAAGTGGGTGACTTTCAACAATGCACTCTCATCAATGGACAGATCATCTAGATAGAAAATAAGTAAAGACACATCAGAGTTGAAACATAACATCAAACAAATGACCTAACAGACCAAAAGCTACATTCTATTCACCACATTGAACATTTTTTCAGGGTATACCACACATTAGGCCACAAATCAACTCTCATTTAATTTGAAAAGACTGAAATCCTATCAAGTAACTAGAAATAAACAAGAACAACAACATAACACTCAAAAAATATATGGAAATTAAACAAGATGCTCCTGAATGAACAATGGGACACTGAAGAAATTTAAAAGGAAATAAAATATTTCTTGAAATAAATGAAAATGAAAACACAACATATTAACTCCTGTGAGTTACAGCAAAAGCATTATTAAGAGGTAAGTTTTTAGCATATAGTGATTATATTAAAAAAGAGAAATGTTTCAAATTAAACATCTAATGATGCATCTCAAAAACTTAGATAAATAAGATCACAACCTTTAACCAGAAGGAGGTGAGAAATAATCTATGTCACAGCATGAATAAATGAAATTAAAAAAGATCAAGAAATCAAAAATTCATTTTGAGAAGATAAACAAAAGAGAAACTCCTCAGAGGGGATTCCAACATGGAGGAATAGGGAAAGGGAGGACTGCTATAGGCTAGGATAAAATAGAAAAAAAGGCAAGAAAGTGCATTCTCAGGGGAGACTGGAGATTCTGTAAGAGGAGGAGAGATGCTGTGGGTCTGTGTGGAAGCTGCAGATGCTCAGCAACAAGCACTGATACTACACAAGTCCCAGCAGCCGAGAGCTGGAGAAAGTGCCGGCTCTGAAGACCACGGTGAGATCAGACTGCAGTGGCCCATGCCAATGCTGAAATAGCTGCAGAGAGAGCCTAGCAGACTACACTGTCTTGGGGTGTGACTTGGACCCTGAGGGTAACGAGTATCCCCTAACCCAGCAGAAAAGAGAGACAATTTCTCCCCATCCCCTCACAACAGCCCCCGACAACCAGCTCAGAGAGGGCAGGCACCATTTTGGATATGCTAGTAGCTGCAGCAGCTCTCGTGCAGGCTCCCAGCAACAGTCAGGGAAAAGGCGCCATCTTGTCTCAAGTAGCAACAGCCCAGGTGCACACACCAGCAACAGGCAGGGAGAAGGAGCCATTCCGACATCATCACTAGCTGCAGGGACTCTTCTAAGTGTCCATAAACTGGCGGGGAGAAGGCATGATTGTGAAACAAGCAGTGCTGTGGCCAGCAGCTCTTGTGGACATGTATGACCAGGGATTTCACCACAGGGAAAAGTCTGTGTTCCCCACTGACTTCCAATCTGCATGGAAAGACTGACAGGGGGCTGGGAACACACCTATGATTATCATGAGCCCTTAGCCTCTCAACATAACGCAGGCTCTGGAGCTCAAACTGCCTAAGTGGAGCACCCATAGGCAACTGGCTCTCAGAAGTTCTCAGCCTCTCCAAGGACAGAACAGGTTAGTGCGGTGGAGTGGGTCTTCTGCACCCTGTGTCTGTGGGAGCTCTGGTACTGAGACTGTGGGAACCCAGGCATGCAGGAGAGGGTGCACGGTGTAGCTGGTTTCTGGGAAAATACTTGGGTAGCTCCATAAGCTCAGCACCCTGGCTGCCTGGGGTGGGTCACTGCAGCAGGATCTGTGCTCACACTGAACACTGCACAGACCCTTTGTGGCAATCATGCAGAACCACAGAACCACAGAACCACAGATGAGAACAGCACCCACTGAGGGTTAACAACAGAATTCATGAGGCAAATCTCTGGAAAATTAACAAACAAAAAAATGAAGAAGAGCAAATTAAAAAGTGAAAAATAGGTTGGAGATGTATGGGATACCACCAAATGACACAATATAGGGTCTTACGGGTTACTGAAGGCATGGAAAAGAGAAATGGATTAGAAGGCCTCTTAGTGAAATAATTACAGAAAACTTCCCGAATCTGGAGAAGAAAGTATGTCCAAGTACTAGAAACACACAGCACTCTTAATATACATGACCAAAAAAGACCTTCACCATGACATATTGTAGTCAAATGCTCCACAGTAAAACATAGAGAAAAGATTCAAAAATGTGCATAAAGGGAAATGTCAGATTACTTTCAGAGTATCTCCAATTAGACTCACAGCTGACTTCTCATCAGGAATTACTACAAAGAGCTGTAGCCCAACACATCAGGAAACCTAGAAGAAAAACATTCCTGGACACACACAACCCACCAAAATTGACCCAGGAACACACAAAAAAGCAAACATACCAATAAACAAAAAAGAAATTGAATCAGTAATGAAGATACTCCCAACAAAGAAAAACCTAGGATTGGA